TAAAGTATAGAAGAGATCAATTCACTAACTTTCTAATTATAATATCCGATATCAGGTGTAATATAATTTTATACAGCGAATTACGTAACAATGCCGTTAATGGTGATGCTCTTGTAAAGAATTTCAAGAGAAAAAAAACTCCTTTTTCTTTTCAAGACATTTTCGTACTTCTCGGTTCTTCTGGTCGGATTTAATAATGCGAGTAAAGACATTTGTGTAACACTAGAATGGAGAAGTGCTGCAAAACCGATAATTGACTAGCTAAGCACACAGCCGAGGTAATGACTTACGTAATACTTATGATTTATCAATATAAATACAGTATACAACAAATTACGAATAGAAAGCTTAATTTCAACGTATACGCCATACGAATAAAATTCTAGAACTCATTATCTAATAATATTCAGTTTTTCTTTGCAGACATCCTTTTACGTGTCACTATACAAGATACAAGATGCTTCACTCGTTTGCATTTTAACATTTACGTGTATGTTTTCGTCGATATTAGAAAAATCGTAGGCGCAAAAAAAAAGTTATAATTGATCTAATACTTTGGCATTTCGTAATTACGAACATTGCAAGCCTCCCTAATTTGCACCTTATATCATATATTCTTATATTCTTATATTCTTATATTCTTATATTCTCATATTCTCATATTCTTAATAGTATTATATAAATACGAAAAACAAATAAAAAATCCAAATAACAATTTACCTTCTTTGTAAAACCGAATTCAAGTCCCTGGAATCGCGAGGCCTATTTTATCAGTTTTAGAGGACATTCTTCCAACCAGTGACATTTTGCCTTTGATCCGTCATGTGCCAGTAGAGTCGTCATTTTTTTTTTTTTATACATGTCACCTAAAATGTATCGTCCACAATCTAGGACGACAAAATAACGTCTAATTACTAGTGAGATACTCACGAACGCAATAAAATATTAGTAACGCGAATAAAAAATCGGTCGATTTCGTTTTTTCTACATAGAACGTCGAAACGAGCATGAACGCAAAAAATTACACAAGATTAGAGCTTTGGACTGACCCAGTATGGCGTCTCACTTCATTTTGCATCTATACAATGTTACTATGTGTATAGAGAGCGTTTAGCATAAGAGAAGTTCAATATTCCGGATGTTGCTGTAGAAACAAAGTATTCAGTGACATTCTATTGTTTATAAATCGCTAATATCGTATCACTTCATCGTACGTTACTGGTACATTACGGTAAAATAAACGAACATTATGGGAAAAAAAAAAAAACAAAAAAAAACAAGTCTCGTGAGACATATTAGCTGTATTAAATCAATAGTCCTATATCAAAGCTTCACTTTGTGCACACAGCATAAAAGTAATTCGATTGCTCGAGACAATTAAATATCTTTTTTTTTATCATAAACGAGTTGTAAACGAACGATTAAGTCTTCCTTGACGAGAAAAAAAATTTTCTTTTATATTTATGCGCGTTCATGTGTATGCATATATGCATACTTATCTACGCACGCAAATCGACCCACCCACCAACACACATACACATACACACACACACACACGAACGTTATATAAATATATGCACGTATGTATTTGCATATAAGACTCTACACGCACACAAATGTACATATAATGTATATACATATACCATTGTTCTCCGTTGCATATGACACCATGTATTAATTGTCAATTTGATGTAATATTGTTCATTAAAGTCCCAAGGCAAGCATTAAACGCTCAAATCATTGGAATAAATGTGCATAAAACAGAACTCGAGTTTCCCATTTTACTGGTTTTCCAAGAACACAACGTCAGCTCTATTGTACGTATAAATAAGAAAATGAATGTCCGAACGCGAGGCGAAGCCAGTGACAATGTCCGCCTAGAAAAATTCCGAGTCCGCGCAATAAACCAAGAGACAGAGAGAGAAAGAGAGAGAAAGAGAGAGAGAGAGAGAGAGAGAGAGAGAGAGAGAGAGAGAGAGAGAGAGAGAGAGAGAGGGACAGCATGGAGAAAAACAAGTAGCTAAGGAACAATTATTACCACGATTATCGTATCGACGGCACTTCACAATCGCACAGCCATGTGAGAGGCCCCGTTTACCATCGGACTAACATTATCGAAGTAAAGGAGAGATTGTGCCATTAGAGTTAGCCAGCGTGAGAGAGAGAGAGAGAGAGAGAGAGAGAGAGAAAGAGAGAGAGAGAGCGAGAGAGCGAGAGATAGATAGATAGATAGAGAGAAAAGATGAAGAAGAGGATAAGATAAAAAGAAAGCTTTCTTCTTTTGTGCCGCCCTCGCTTACGTTAGTACAGCCACACCACAATACGTGACCGCGGACTGCTCTTCTTATTCACGCACATCCGTTTTGGCGCGAGTAAAAATGTGAAAAAGCCTAGGGCTGATTGTCCCTCTCTATGTACATGCGTGCGTGCGTGCGTGCGTGCGTGCGTGCGTGCGTGCTTGCTTGCTTGCGTACGAGTGCGTACGCGTATAGGTAAATGTCTACCTCGCACGCCACGTGCGCCAAGAGGCGAAGCAACGCGGCGTCGAGGAGAGCGACGCCGCCAGGTGCCTTGGTTAATAGCTGGCGGTGCCGGGACTCGCGATTTCGCTTCCTCGTTATCCCACGTCAACTGCACGCCGTGTCATGGAGTTGGTCCCGCCGTTAATAATCCGCCGCGTGCGCGTTTCAGGATGGAAAAGCGGGGAACGCTTGTCCGATTCGCCGATGTGTATGATGCGACTGTGCGTACGTGCCTCAACGTCTCTCACTTCACACAAACTCTCGTTCGTTCTCTCTCTCTCTCTCTCTTACTTTTTCTTTCTTCACTTCCGTTCCAACACTACACTTTCCCTCTTGCTCTGCATCCGTTTTTCATCTCGCTCCATGTAATAGCACGCGCTTGTGAAATGGAACGACGCGTGGGTGTCGATACGTCGTTGCGCAATCGTATTTTCCTTGCGCTGCCGTGTACTCGAGACCTTTTTCGCGGCGATCCGTCCTTTTCTCTACCCGTCCCAAAAAAAACGACCGAGAAACGCACGCTACTAGCCGTTACGCGAACGGATAAATCGAGAGAGAGAGAGAGAGAGTGAGTGAGTGAGTAAGTAAAAGTGAGAAGGGGCAGAGAGAGAGAGAGAGAGAGAGAGAGAGAGAGAGACAAGGAGAGAGATAGATCGAGTGAGAGAGAGAGAGAGAGACGGAAATATGGAGGCATAAAATGGACGTCAATAGACGCTGGTATATGGTGAAAATGGTTCATGGCTGCTGTCAAGTTTAAGTGCTCGAGAATCGGGTGGCGTGCATTTTCTTTCATTCTTTCTTTTTTTTTTCCAACGGACAATCAGGACTATCCTTGTAATTTCAACCCACTTAATAACTCGATGATTTGTACGTGTTCTCGTCGACATACCGATACGCGTCCAACAATGGCTTCTTGCATCGATTTTTCAATACCTTTATTTTAATGCAAAACAGCCGCTATATAATAAGAATAAATATACAATACAATATGGAGTCAAATTAATTTATCGTTACTCAATCACATATTTCGTCTCTCTTTTTTTTTTTTTTCTTCTTTTCAATCAATGGCCATCCTCGGCAGCCCTGCTTTATCCTCTGCATCGACTCTGACTGTCCTCGGTATTATTATGCGATCTGCAATGTAACTCTTCCTTAAGAAAGACAAATTATAATTATCAGTGGCTCATTTATATTTATATTGTCTTTGGTAGGCGACGAAGGCGGCGAGTATTGTCAACTCGGTATTCTCGACAGACTTGCACTACGCTCGCGCCATTGGCTTCTCAATTATTATTATTATTATTATTATCTATAATCCTACAAGCATTCCCAAATTCCTAACCAACCATCATCAACCTGCACGACTCCCAAGCCGTCCTCGACAATGCAACGACGCGGTAAAAACGCAGTCGTACAAAGGAGGCTAAGCAGTAGTAAGTAATAAGTAGGCGGACAAATTATGCACGCATCGTTGTACCGCACTCGCATTTCTTAAATTTATTTATCGAATGAGCCGAGTGAGTGAGCCTAACATGGCCTCCGCATCATTTCCCAGCCCTTGAAAATCTCAACGCGAAAGCCAATGCGAAAGCCAACGTAAAAGCCAACGTAAAAGCCAACGTAAAAGCCAACGCGAAAGCCAACGCGAAAGCCAACGCGAAAGCCAACGCGAAAGCCAACGCGAAAGCCAACGCGAAAGCCAACGCGAAAGCCAACGCGAAAGCCAACGCGAAAGCCAACGCGAAAGCCAACGCGAAAGCCAACGCGAAAGCCAACGCGAAAGCCAACGCGAAAGCCAACGCGAAAGCCAACGCGAAAGCCAACGCGAAAGCCAACGCGAAAGCCAACGCGAAAGCCAACGCGAAAGCCAACGCGAAAGCCAACGCGAAAGCCAACGCGAAAGCCAACGCGAAAGCCAACGCGAAAGCCAACGCGAAAGCCAACGCGAAAGCCAACGCGAAAGCCAACGCGAAAGCCAACGCGAAAGCCAACGCGAAAGCCAACGCGAAAGCCAACGCGAAAGCCAACGCGAAAGCCAACGCGAAAGCCAACGCGAAAGCCAACGCGAAAGCCAACGCGAAAGCCAACGCGAAAGCCAACGCGAAAGCCAACGCGAAAGCCAACGCGAAAGCCAACGCGAAAGCCAACGCGAAAGCCAACGCGAAAGCCAACGCGAAAGCCAACGCGAAAGCCAACGCGAAAGCCAACGCGAAAGCCAACGCGAAAGCCAACGCGAAAGCCAACGCGAAAGCCAACGCGAAAGCCAACGCGAAAGCCAACGCGAAAGCCAACGCGAAAGCCAACGCGAAAGCCAACGCGAAAGCCAACGCGAAAGCCAACGCGAAAGCCAACGCGAAAGCCAACGCGAAAGCCAACGCGAAAGCCAACGCGAAAGCCAACGCGAAAGCCAACGCGAAAGCCAACGCGAAAGCCAACGCGAAAGCCAACGCGAAAGCCAACGCGAAAGCCAACGCGAAAGCCAACGCGAAAGCCAACGCGAAAGCCAACGCGACCAGCCACCAGTCGATTCGCAAATAAAACAAGCTGGAAGTCACGTTCACCTATCCGAACCGACGATCCATCCTGACCGCAGTCACGCGAACGAATGTCGTCGTGGCCTACCAAGCAACCGGCTAAACCTTCGTCTATTTTGTTCGGGTGGGGATGGATGGCAAAGGAGGACGGCAAAAATGTATATTCTGACACTGCACTACCTTATCAACGGCGAAAAGCGCGAAATTTAAACGATCTTGGCATTTATTTATTGAAAAAAGAAGTAATTTTGCTATGATTTACCCCCCCCCCCCTCTTTCATAATCAATAGGAATATTTCTCGGAATATCATGTGTTTGAAAGGAACGATTATTTAGAGGGATATTGCAGAAAAAGTAAAACATATATTTGATCGAATCTTGGAAATAAAATTTACAGACACTTTTATCGTGTTTCACGGGGAGAGAGGAAATAAAAGAGATGGAGCATTAATTAGTAAAATCGATTGAATACAATTTTTTATGTAATTTTCAATGATCATTTAATAGCTATAATACGATCTTAAAACATTACTATTTTAATAATGAATTTTTTTATTAAGAAGCCTTTTATATTTAACTTATTTATGGTTTGTTTGAATAAACACAAAAGATTTGGTTAAATTCAGAAAATTACAGTTACAGTTACATTACACAAGTCACATTAACTGAGGATTTGGTTAAATATTCTACTATATGTATGTATATGAGAATATTTAAGAACTTAAAGTATTAACAGTTTACAAAGCTTAACAAATGAAACGAATGACATAACGCTAGAAACGTAGTTTTCTACAATTTAAAAAAAAAAAAAAAAAAAAAAAAAAAAAAAAATAATTTCCACTCAATTATTGTTTTGATAATTGCATTTTATATTTCAATATTATATGAATAACTTTAGTGTACTAGTTAATCGGGCGGGAAGCGACAACATTTTGTTAATAGAATATTATAAAAGGTTCAGTTGTAAAAAAAAATTTAATGCAAATAGAAGGATTTGGATTCGTACAAATTCGATAAATGATTTAATCCACAAATTGTAAATTATTTGAGCGTGGATGAAATAGTATGATCGAGAGATGAAAATTTTTTAAAGTAAATACGGATTATAAATGCCAACCTGAAAAAGCATTATTTATAATTAAATAATAAGATAAAAGTTGATAATACATGAATCAATATGCCATAAGCAAAAATAGATAATTAAAAATCAAATTTTAATATTTAACACATTCGTAATTATATTTTCAAAACATTCGTTAGATGTACTGTTCTCTTCTTCATATCTCATTACAAACATTCGATATACATTCACTTTGTCATATATTATAATTTACATTGTTTTATTAAAATTTTTAATACAAAGTAAACAGCTTTCGAATTTCATTGTGTCATTAAATATATCAACAACTACATTTCAAAGTGGCTTTTAATACTTCGTATAAAATGACAAAGTAACGGTTTTTCAAGCACCAAATAGGATCAATTTTATATATTTTGTTTAACATAACGTATGTTTATTGATAATTAGTCTTCAAGAGGCAAATTATTTTGTAGAAACGTCGAGGTCTACCGACACGAGGTCTTAATATCGATCAGCAAAGCTGTAAAATAAGAGCCCAAGTGTCGATAATTATATGCGCTTGATGCGTATTTTATTAAAATATTATATAATTTTTTTTCTATAATCTGTACGTTACTCAAACGTAAATGAAAAAAGGTAAAGCAATTTAGAAAGTCGAGTCTTAAAAATATCATAACCTTAGCAGCTCATAAAACATTAAATACATAATTTTACATCTAGTGTCGTATATTTAAATATTTCATTTATTATTTTAATGAATTTATTTTTTAGTTAAAACTTAATGTTAATGTTGAGATATAGATATATGTACGTGTGGTTTTAGCAATTCAATGTCAATTGATTTTTCCACCTTCATAATCGAGGATAATTTAATCAATAATTTATGTATGCATAAATTACAGTTATACCGTTACAAGCTCAAATAAGTAGTATAAGCAAAAGATATTAAATTTTTTTCAAAAGTAAATAAATTAATCATTATTAAATGACATTTTTTTTTTTTTTTTTTAAGCGCTATATACGAAGGCTTATAGACAAATTCAAATTTGCAATCATGATTAGAAATATAATAGGCCTACGTTATTTGTTCATTTTTATAGACCTTTTCAAAGCACAATTTGGATCTTTCACGATGTAGAACAACCGCCCATGTCAACACCCATAAATCTATGGATAAAAAAATAGATAACAATTTGAAGCAAATACATCTCCGTCTATTGTTGGTTAATTTTACTAAAATTTGTTCCGTTATCACACCCATACACGTGATGCAATACTATTGAGCCTTTTATTTTCACGAACGATCTATAATAGATTTCTTTAATCTACAACTGTTTTCTAAAACTTATCAAACAAATATTAAACTTCATGACCGAACAAACAAAAGAATGCACCTTGAAAGAGATATTTTTAAAAATTGTGAATGTTAAGCATATGTCGGATTTAATATTGTAACGGTATATTTTCATTATTTTGTAGCCTGTGTAAAGTATATCAGAACAGTAATTTATATGGACTTTTATAAATAGTGAAGTGAACAATTTAATAAATGTAGATGATACATAGAATTACATAATAATAAGAGCTTAATATTTTATCTGACCAATGTTATAGCGATATCATGCGCCTATAACGAAAATTTATAAGATTAGTATTTCGTATTTTGATTGGTTAATTGAAAATTAAAATTTCAATAATCTTAAAAATGAAATCATAAATTGAAAATATTAAACTGCACTTTAGAAATGTAATAGAGAGCGTAATAACGTACTTCAAAGAAATAAAACAAGACATCGGTATACTTATGTTGATGACTAGATTCATTTTCTGATTATCAAAACCAGCTAATCAATTCTCTTTATTAACAATTTTTATTTTAATACATTGTAGGCTTTACGTATGTGAGGTAAAAAAACAAATTTAACTTTTGTAAATGAAATTAGACTAAGATGAATAAAGGTTGAATGATCTTTTACAATTGTTTAGAAAAAATAGGTTTCATGATTGTTTATAAGCTTATCAAGCTGCGTCAATGGTAAATAAATTAACAACTTATATACTATTTTCTTATTCTTCGCTTTTATTTTTCGACAAGATTATCAACTTAATATTTACGTTCAATAACTTTATTTACAAAACATTCGAGTATAAGCATTAATCAATTATTCTTGTTTCTTGATTTTTCCACCGCAGTCTTTCGAATTATTTACAATAATTATTTGGAATATAATCACGAGTTATACGAATGTGAACGTGTGTAGTCTCTCAATGATTTATTCCCTACTTAATTATTAATTTGAATTTTTTATTTATACGTTTCTTTCAAAACATAAAATTTTCATTCGGTTTATCCCTTTTTTTCTTCCCATTTTTCTCTTCGTTTTCTAAAGCAGAGTCCCAGAATTCTAACTCTCGAGAATACTAAGACAAACAGTTGCGTTATCAGTCAATTTTTTTTTTCTTTTTTTTTTTCTAAAATGATACTCAACAGATGTGTTACGTAAGTCGTAGCATAAAAAAATGATTTTTTTCTTTTTTCTATACTTTGACAAAAAAAAAAAAAAAAAAAAAAAAACTTTAGTATGGTATCGATTATGTAATATTGTCGATAATTTGAAGTAAAAATCTTTGCCAATAAATAAACATTTGAAAATAATTTGATTTATTCTCTCCCCGTCATACTTGAAATTTTGATTAGCTAATTTTTTTATATTCTCTTATTTCTTCGATTTCTTTAATCGTTTATGTTTAAACAATTATACCATCACGCGCGATATCATACGCAAAATCATAAGTCTTTGTTCATGATTTTGTTCTTTTTTGTCGTAAATTTTTACTTTCTTATACACATAGACGTAACGACAGCTTGTTTCAATATTTGCATCCTTAGCGATTACAAATGATATTACATGCCTCCTGAACGTAAGACATTTCGTCTTTTTTGAATATTCATTAAATATAATAAATAGCTTCAGTAATACATTAGATTGTAAATTAGAACGAAATTTGAGAAACAAAAAAGAGTTCGAAGGTCGATACTTTGAAAGGAATATATGTCAAGAATTTAAATTATTTTCATAATACGTAGTTTTCCAATAATTATTAACTTAATCATAGCGTTAAAATTTTCTCAATATAAATTTAGATTCTGTTTAGAAATTTTAGAATATCTCTTGAGCTTTTCATAAATTCAATGGTAGATTATCTTGTCTTTCAAAAAAGAGAAAAATCAAACGTTCAAATTCCATTTCAATGTTATACTAATAATTAAAAAACAAAACAAAAAAAAAAAAAAAAAACATAGTACCCCAACATATTTTAATTTATTGTTTCTTCATTAACAATTGATTATATATTGTGTTTTGTTTATCGGAGTACTAAAATATGTAAATTACACAGCCATACTGCAATACTTAAAAGATCCGATGCAGCATACGATTTTTCAAACTTTTCAGTTCTTTGGAGTATGAGTAAAATTATTAAGTTTATAACAATATTCTAGTTACGAGAAATTTGAAAACTTCCATTATCAACTGAGCTAGTTTATTCTAAAATAAAGTATTTTGTATAAATTATACAATTACCTAATTTCGAAAATATAATGAATTTATTACAATATTAAATACAAAACATAAGAGCAATTTAGCTCAATTGATAATATTTTTCGGAATAATTAATGTTTAAAAAGTTGAACTTATAGTACAATAGGATAAGAATTACTAAAAAAGATTCTATAATCGTTGTTCGTTTTTTTTTTTTATTATAAAACGCTCAAAAAGAGAGATGGTACATTCAAATGTTTTTAAACCAGTCCTTGTTTGTCAACCAGTGGAATGTTATTCTCATCTAACTGCCTGCTTTTAATTAAAGACACGTTGCATAGATTATCGTAAACCTAAATATTCATATCGTTTCAGACCTGCCGATGCATAGTTTCAATATCTCACTAACTGTTCAATTAATAATAACAAAATATAGCTTATATTTATGTGTTTATTATTATTATTATTATTATTATTATTATTATTATATTTTTTAACGTTTTAAACGTGGTAATTGAGTCGATAGTATTAAATTATTAGATTATAATAAAAAGCTAAGATTGTCCTTACAGAAAATCTATATAAATAAATTATATTTATAAGACTAAAATGAATTACATATAAAATTAATGAATGACTTAATGAAATATAGCTTTCCTCGGCTGTACCCTGAATTTGAATAAATCTCTACTTTATACGTGTCAAAGCACGAATAAAAGTTAAATCATAAGTTTTCTTTTGACAGAATAGAGCGCCACTTATTTCAATACAAGAGATTTCGTAATTTCATTTGGTAAGTTGATGAATGAACCAGCTATTAATTAAAATAATAAAGTCCCGGCAATAAATGCTTTAAGGATGCATTTTTACGATTATTCAATTAACGTTGATGTTATATTTAATTAATAAATACATTCTTTTCTATTAGTATTAGGCGGATAAGTATACGTGACAAAAATTCTGCAGTAATCTTTATAAATAATTTAATAATAATAATAAAATAAAAAATAAAAAAATAAATAAAAAAAAAAATAATATAAAAAAAAAAAACAAGAAAAAAATACATCAGGCAAATAGCTTTTTCATTCTTATTTTTTTTTTTCGCTAAAGACGCAATATCACAACAATGATTGATGTAAAGTTTAGTGTCATATTTTACATTCATTGGAAAATTAGTTTAGTTATTTTTGGCAGTAATGCTTTTGGTTAGACAAATCAAGGCTGTCAGTGATCCTAGTATATTCCTATTTTTATTTATATTTTTCACATATGCAAATTCAGAAGGCAATGTAAAAAAAATATATCGTTTCACATCCTATTTTTTTTTCTTAAAAATTGAAATATTTTTTTTTATACAACCTAGCATTTGCTAATGCAATATATCCTTTTGAACTTTTCTGAAAAACTCTCGTTGCTTTTTTTCATGAAAAAAATGAAATAAACGGTAACTCCAACAATTTTATTTCATATCATTCGAAAAAATCGTATATTAAATCTTGAAAAGTACAACGAAATTAACATTATTAACAGATTACTCTTCGTATTGTACATCAATAATGCATTGCTCATAATTTTGAAAAGGAAAGAAAGAAGATTTTTTCTTTATTGCTGAAAAAGTTGTATGCGGTTGTTCATAAAAAATTTTGACATTCCAGTGCAATGAAAAAAAAAAAAAATAAATAAAAGCATTAGGTACTTTGGCACAAAAACAATCTTCATTTAATATATAAATATAACGCCGTAGAAGTGCATAATTTGTTATACAAAGCCAAACCTTCATAGTAATGTTTATATTTAAATTACATCGTAGACATGCATTTTACAATTAAATTCATTATTTTGTCTATATTTATTAATTTGTAAATTTACTCCAGCATAATCATACGCAATATACTTTTATCGTACTTTAACCTTATGTAAAAAATTCTAGACGAATATTGGCATTTTATTAGATAAAGACCTGATTTTAAGGCCCTCTATCTATATATTAGCACTTTTAAAGAACAGAGTATACAAAATATATAAACTTACAGTTTGACTTTTGGCACAGTTGTCGTTCAGACCGTATCTAAATTTTTTTATCTCATAAATCCAGATGAAATATTTTTCTTTCTTTTTTAATTGAACTGTATTAATAACAAGATATTTTAATTGCAGCTCAGCTAACTATAAAATTGTAAAATAGCCAATTAAAGTAATTTACCATAAAAATGCGAAGAAAAAAAATTGTCACAATTTGTTTTTACGAATATCATAAAACATATTCCTCGATTTCAAACAAACGGGCCACCATAAAAATCCAATTTTTCAAAATTATTCCTTACAATTGGATAAACATAACAGTTATGTTCGAAGATGAATTAGTGTGCATAAAAAGTAAAATAGTCATGATATCATGCACTATCGCATACAACTTTCTCCATTAATAATCTCGCAGTAGAATTAATTTCCTGAAGGATGTGAGGTGGGAGTTTGGGGGTTTGGGGGAGGGGGAAGAGAGAGAGAGAGAGAGAGAGAGAGAGAGAGAGAGAGAGAGAGGGGGGGGATGTGGTCAGGTCAGGCTAACAAAAATAAACGAGGGTTTTCATGCCGAGGACTTATCTTTAAGCGTATCATCGCGTATGAGGCTTCCTCATCATGAGGTCCCAGTCGCTCGACGCGCGCGAATCCGACTCGCCTAGTTCATGCACGCGCGCATACGTGTGTACGTGTGTACGTGTGTACGTGTGTGCTTTAGTGTGCTCGTGTCCGGGTCTTGCCGTCAGCCAACTATCATCCTTCAATTGTGAACGGTCGTGGATGCGTGCTGTAATCTCTCGAGCTCCTCGAGGGAGAGGACGTTGGTCTGCGCGAGCTCGGGCAGTTTCCCAGCGCGTGCCTGTGCCAGCAGTTCCGGGCTGAACCACCGTGCGAGCTGATTGGACGTGGGGGACAAGGCACCGCTGTTGCCGGCTCCGGCACCGCCTCCGCCGCCCATGAAACTCCCGAGTCCCGAGGAGTTTTGATTGCGGCTACTGCCAACCGATATGCTCAGCTGCTGCGGATGCATGACTCGGGCATCTACGTTTGACCGGGACAAAGAAGAAGAGAACGTGTTCAAGGCATTGTTTGTCCAATTATTGCACTTTCACTTGATAAGTGATCATGTACATTCCAGTGGGAACTTATGGGAGGTGGAAAAGTTGAATATCCATGTCGATCGACCGAGAACTATGAGTTATTGGCTAATTCTTCGATATCAAATGGCAATTTCACTACTTTTTCTCGGTGGCATATAATTCAAGACGATTTATTTAAATCGTATTGTAGAAATCATCGCGTCACGACCGACATTTCGATGTAAAATAATGATCTTAATTATCAACTCGTGGATATGATGAAATACTAGCATACTCAAAATCTTTTGATTTGAGTATTTAAATTTCTTTGAAAACTAAGAAAAATATTATTGATACCTGTTTCAATGTAGCGATAATATATTTAACCGAATTTTACATAATGATTGTTTCAACAAGACTTTAATAGCCAAAGCACAATTTTAAACGTAATGTAAGGAGAATCGTAGTTGTTTAATGAAAATTTTCAAGGAAACCTTCAAAACATCACGTTCCACTTAAATGTATTGTACGATGTACGAAAAACTCTAATGACAAAAAAAAAGCGTAAATATTAATTTAGATGCCTATGAAGTTAATTGCTTCGATATTGAAATTAACTCGAATGATAAATTATAATTTTATATGGTAAGGTAAATAAATGTGCTCGGTATGGAAATAAAAGTCCTGTAAATGATTAACTTTTTAATCGGGAGAAGTCTTTTTGAAATGTCTTATCAATACTTACGCATTACATGTCATATATTAATTGCGTAAGAAACATTTTAACAAACTCAAATTTATATTATATTATATTATTTACAATTATATATAACGAAAGTTAGACTTGACTTTAGAACGAAAAAACAATGAAATAATTTTAATATTGAATGAATTCATTACAATTAGCAAACACAATTTTTAAGGAACAATCTGATTGAACAATTTTTTAAATTACAAGAAAAAAAAATACTTATTTAATAAAATGATGAAAGGATAAAATTGGATGAGGATCTTGTTAGTTAGATTTTGGAGAACCATTACATGATATAGGATTCAGATTAACAGGAAGACCTAAAAATGTAATTATTACTTATTATTAAATTAAAACATAAAAGAGTATTAGGTAATTTTTTAATTGGAGTTGCATTTGTTTTCAAAGAGAGATCAATCGTAATTCATGCACTTTAGTCTTTGATGTCGTCAATGCGTTTGCTCAATAAACGAGCGATCGGTTATAATTGCAAGTATTAAAAATCATGTGGCTTTAGCGCGATTTTACATTCAATTAGACTTTGATGTTCCCTCAACAAAATCACTGCAAGGGCTGTTTGTTTCAAAAACAGTCCTAAATGCGAGCACTCACCGGTTCTTGTAGAATTGAAATTCTGATTAAGCACCTGGGGCGCATTTACCGCCCTCATCTGTTGTTGTTGGAGCGCGATCTCCTCCTGGAGGATATTCAAATGCCGCATTTGCTTAATGGGGTCGGGCTGCTGCCTTTGGCCTCCCATTACGGAGTTCGGAGGCTGTTGCTGTTGTTGTTGGGCGTTGTACTGTGGAGCGATGTTTTGTAGACCTACGGAGATCGTGTGCTTCGAGCGAGTCGCGTTCCCTCCAAATATATTTGTGTTCACTCTTTGCTGCTGCTGCTGCTGCTGCTGCTGTTGTTGTTGTTGTTGTTGTTGCTGCTGGTAGTCAACGTTGCTACTGTAATGGAACTGCTGCGTAATACCAGTACTACTTTTGACGATTGGTCGACCTGTAAAATAAATATACGTTGGATTGAAATTGAGTTTATTTCGTATCTCTTAGAACAAAATGCCTTTATCAATGCAGCTTAAACAATAATTTACTTTTCCTTTTTTCAAATAATGAAACAAATAAGATAATATCATACATTTTTCGCCAATAAATAAGCGATTTTTTTTGTAGTAATTTATTTTCTGCATTTTGCAATTAAAACAATTATTAAAAGAAATTTGTATGAGATTGATTCTTATTTAAATCTTCTAAAATCAATACATGATTATGATTAGTATACAATAATAAGTAATCCAGTCATTCGGTAAATGCTAATCTCATTAAAACGTTCACCTTGCAATATTTCCTTTTTATTCGGCAAGCATTGTTAGTTTTCACAAGCAAAAAAAAAAAAAAAAAAACAAGTATAAATCAGAAATTTATGTATTACAATCAACACAAAAAATAATTTATCCCTAATATAGAAATTCTTGAACGTATATGCATTAGGTGCGAAAAATTTGGAGTTATTGACAGTACAAGAAACGCACCGCACTCACACATAGAAGAAGGCAGAAAGTAGGTGATTAAATTATATTAAACAAACATAATCCATTTCTTAATTTATAATATTTAAAAGAATAAATTTATTATAAAATGAGGAATTTGAAAATTTCTTTACTTCGGATTCGCTTTTTTTTTTTAATTATTATATTGTTTATAATATTATATAAATATATTTTTTTATTTTAAATAAATATTTAAATTCTTTTAACACATTTTTTCATTTAATTTATAAATATTTAGTTAAAGGCAATCAGAGTATACAAAAACAGTTGAATATTTATTAACACTAGATAGTAATATCATAAACTATATTAAATATTGAAATCAAAATAAATAGAAACGCACGTATTATATATTATTTGCTAGAACTAAGCTACTATGATTAATGATCCAAAAAAAATTTTTATGAACATTTGAAACATAATTCCTAGTACCACGACTAATACTGTTATTACTCGTGTACGTTGTGATATTATAATTTGCATGATTTTTTTTTATCTTTATTAATAAAATTAATTGTTACGGAGACTAACTGTTTTCACTTACAATATTTTTACGGCGACTTGAAGCGACCATCTTTCGCTAGAATGGCCATTTTTTCCGATAAATAGTTATTAATAAGGAAGAGAATAAGAATATAATTATAGAAATGAATACTCCACGAGGGACCAACTATTCCGATGACTATTTTCAATTATAAAATGAGAGTAGTATACAATGTTTATTAATTAAGTTTTTTTTTCTTTCGTGTATTTTTCTTCAATTTATGAAATTTTTCTATGCGAGAATTAATGTGCCTGTGCACTTATAATGAAAAAAAAATTAATTATGATAGACGATTGCCATATAATGTTTTCTCATTTAATCATCCAACATTTCCTATAAATGAAATATATATTGGCTCAACCAGTAAGCCATATAATCTTTTATATATATATATATATGTGTGTGTGTGTGTGAGTGTGTGTGTGTGTATAAATAAATATCTTCTCGTGTTTTCTCATAATTGTATTATAAAAAGAAAAAAAAATTACTTTCTTCGTTAAATTTACATATTTTACCATGACATTGTTGGCAAATGCAAATGAAAATGTCGGCAATGTCGCATGTTTTTGTATAAACGAGCAACTGCCACATAAATATAGTAAACATTCGTACTCTCATTTAATAATAAAGTGCTATCGTCAAATGTGTTTTAGAGAGACCAAGTAATGCAGTAATAGCTTCTACTGCACGTGGGTTAATCTGGAGGACGATATTTGTAGGCGGGGTATGTGTGACAGTGAGAGACGTGTCAATAGCTTGGCATTCGTTACCGGGATGCTGCTTGATGGGAAGGGAATTCGACCAAGAGGGCTGGACCTGTTGCTGGGTGCGCATCGCTGCAGTATGCCGCGCTAATACGCCTTGAGCGAGCATTTGCACGCTCGTCTGCTGGGATTGTTGTTGCTGCTGTTGGTGCTGCTGCTGTTGCAAGTGCTGCAGGTGGCCAGCATTCGCCTGATTAACCAGCAACTTCGACGATTCTTGGCTCCCTGTAGTGGACACACATACACGAACTCGCTTAGCCTAGCTAAAGATGCCGAATATCTTATGCTCGACACCGAGCAAGCTCACTCCTCGTGTAAGCACAATTTTCGGGCGTACTTACTTTCCTTCTCAAAGAGCGATTATTTTATTATACCACTCGTTGGCCCCTCGTCCGCGTTAATTATTTGCAATCGATTGCAGTGATTAACGGGAAGTATAATATTGGACCAATCGTCGCGATGCTTAATTTTCGCTCTTTTAGAAGAAATTACTCAAAGAATTTATAATAAAAAGTCCTTTGCCTTACCAATAGAAATCATCAATTAAATAATCCTTGTTTATCATTATCAAAAGCTATGCGACGGAAAACATTTTAAAGTTAAAAATGAAAATGCTACAGCTACGCACTGCATTATCTTATTTATTAATTAATTCGCGGGAAACTTTGAATATCAATATTTCAATATCAATATAATTTCTGAAAATATAATCTACGGTATTTTCGACAAATTTCAATGATTAAAGGAATCGTAATTCATGATTTCTGTTAATTGCCAAGTTATAATTTATATGTATAAGCGATGAAACAAATGTTATTTTTATTTTTAGTATAATAAATATGCGAGCCATGCAACAAATATTTTTTACTCTTTTACTATAGAGTGGTACCAAATTTTCTATACAATCTATTATAGAATAGAAAAAAAAAATATCATAACAATTAATGCAATGATTTTGCATACATGTGATAATACTAAGATCAACTAAGATCAACCAAATACATTAGTTCAATCTAAATGTGCCTAATGATAATTGTATTATTCCAATCAACTACAGCGAATAAAATGAAATAAAAAAAAAACCATTTTCCATTTCAAGCAAATTAGTCTCTTCATAATCATCAAACATCAATCTAATAAATGCAATTTTTTTTTTTTTTTTTTTTTTTTTTTTTTTTTAACAACAATTAATTATGAAAATAACTAAATTCTAGTTACAACCTATAAACCTATATTTTTATGAATTAAATGTTCTAAAATGCTTTATACTCTATAAAGCTCTTTTCTTATTTTACTCACTAATATTCAAAGTGCATGTAAAAATAAGAAAAATACGCTTAACTTATTTTTTATTTAATAATAAAAAATTACTATCGATGCAAATAAATTAATTCAAAATTATTCTCTGATTTTTAAATACGATCAATCAATTATATATGTATACACACGCACGCACGCACGCACGCACGCACGCACGCACGCACGCACGCACGCACGCACGCACACTCGCACGCACACACACACACACACGCGTAAATCAATAATCATTGTAGGCAAATATTTAGCAACTGTATTACTTACCATAATTCAAATAAGTAGTATAAACTGTAAGGGATAAAAAAATCAAATCAAACCTCGAAGAAAGTAGAGAAAATTAAGGTTAAGCTAATAGTACAGTAAAAGTTCGTTATTTGAGTTGGAGAATAAAGCAGCTGTTCTAAGAATACACGGACAAGAGAAAACCATATAAAAAGCAAACTCAAGATAGGAAATTGTCTAGGAGAGGTGATATAAGCAAAGTAGTTTATTATAAAATCTATCAAAGATTAAAGAACCACAAGTGCAAGCGAAGCCGTGTTTGTTTTCCATAACGTGCATAGCGTTATCGACCCATCGTTACTTCATATTCATCTCGGTTGTCCTAATACCGAGTTTCTATAAAATAATATATTTAGAAACAATGGTTTTGTGACAATCATTTTTGTTCGTCGTCGATAATTGCATTGCATTTTTATTTTCGTTAGGCATCACGAGAACAAAAGCAATCCAACGCGGATAATAATAATAATAATAATAATCATAATAAAAAAAAAAATAAAAAAAAAGCATACAAGAAAAATGAAGAATACGATTTCATCAACGCTTTAACGAGAAGAAATTTTAAACTCATGAAATTAAGTTTTTTTCGGATTTTTTTTTTTTTTTTTTTTTTTAAACCGAAGCATATGATTTTCTTTGCAAAGTAGAAAGAGTTTTTTTTTATTGCAAATAGTATAATTTACTAACAGACATTAATGAATTTTTGGCTACTCAGCTCAAGTCCCTTACATTCATTATTTATGTCAAAGTTTATTATTAGATTCATGTAAGGGAATTACACTAAACATAGTCATACTTTTTAATTTTTTTTTATTCCTTAAGAGAATAAAACTTCTATTTTCAATATATTAAAAAAAAAAAAAAAAAAAAAAAAAAAAAAAAAAAAAAAAAAAAATCACATTTTTCACTGCTTTTTCTTTTATTAGACGTTCAATAAATAAGAAGTCTAACGCGTAATTTCAAGATATTTCTCACTTTTGTATTACTTTATATCGAGCAAAAATAAATTTCATGCAAATCAGCATGACTGGAATTATAAGGTAAGTTAAAAAATTTACTCCCAATGTCTGTTACTTATATATACCGTATTTTATCCCGTTTCATCGAATCGAAAGAGTTTCAATTTACGAGAATTATTTAACCGCATTCACTTCATCGTTATTCTTCTCTTTCTTAATGCAAACTTTGAGAGGATTGTCAACAACGATTGTTTGATCGTTGTTATTGGCATCATTATTATTGAACTCCGTAATGACCTCTACAAGCTGCAATTTGTTAACCGACGCTTCCACCACCTCTTCGACCTCCTCTTTTATAATATTACTGCTACTTTTACTGAGCATATGCTTCGATTTTAAAGCCAGATCACTATCATCGATGCTGGTGCAGCAGCCATCGGGACTCTTTAGGAGCTTCGATGTTAATCTCGTCCTCGTAGCCCACAGGCGCTGCTGCACCTTGGCGATGTAGGGTAAGATTTGACTTTTGTGCGCTAGTTCTAATTGGACACAAGTTAATATCGCACCCTCGGGCTCCTTTTCAGCAGTCATCTTTCGCAGGACGGAGGTTGGCGTGAACGCCAGCGGCGTCGGGCTGTGCGTCTGTTTTGCCGGGGAGTGGACAGGAGTAGTGGAACGCTGCTGTTGCTGTTGTTCCTGTCGCTTGCGATAATTCTCGCGCTGCTCTTCGAGTTTCTTTTTTAGAAGAGCGTTTTGAATTATGGACTGCGTGTGAACTGCAAGCTCCCGTGGGGATGGTACTCGGTGACTCATCACTGGGGGAAAACAATATGTAGAGGGTGATTTACGTTTAACGTGTTTCCGCTACGCCAGCATCCGTGAAATACGTAATTTTCACAATGTTATGCTTTAAAAAATTTTCTCTCGCTTCTCTCATGGCACGTGAGAACTTTGTCAGTGTAAAAAACATTTATATCACAATATATATAGATATAAATTTTTTATAATTTGATCTTGCCGAGATTCATGCAAAATTGTTATTAATTGACAGTAATTGTGTAAATTACATGACTAACCAATGTCACTAGATAATATTCAAGATTCATTTTATTATTAGATGGATATTATTAGAAACTAGCGTTAGTCATTTTGTAACCGAAATAATATTCTAGTTTTATAGAATTTAGTTTGACATTTGTCCTTATGATGGCTTTATTTATTTATTTATTTTAATATTTAAACGGGTGTGCTTCGAATTTCATTTTTATTCAAAGAAGCCATTAAAATCATTTTTTTCTTTCGTGACCACAAAATATATTGATATAATTTAATAAAAATCGATTTCCAACGATGATTACTGTTCATTTAAAAATCATTATCACGTAACTATAAATTAACATTATTAGAGACATTTTACTTTTACCTTCAGCATTCATTTTATTCAAACATTCATAACTTTCATTTCTTTTTTATTATTTTATTTTATTGAAATATTAACAACAAATTATAAAAAAATATAAAATATCGATCATAAAAATCATATTTTAATAAGGTACAAGAAAATATTGAGTATACCATTATTCATGGGTGACGGTATTCGCTGTTGTTGCTGTTGATACAGCATTTGTTGTAGTAAGTGATCCTGTGGAGTAGGAACACTTGGATGTGGACTAACAGTACGAGATGTTGGGCCACCATAAAATTTCAAAATACTAACTAAGATTTCCCGATGACGATGCTGCATAACAGGATTCTAACAAAAATATAATATATATATATATATATATATATATATAAATAAATAATATTATATGTTTATTTATTCATTATTTTGGGGATAATTTTCGTATGGTGAATACTTAAATATCGATAATTAAACGATCAATTTTATAAATTATCCGAACAATTACAGTGACATATTTCTAATGACAGATCTTGACTCTAATAAATGTTATTACATTGTAAATGTATCTAGTAATTGTTTTTAGGCATAATTGTAAGAATTTCAGTATTTACATTATATATTGAGAATATAAAGAAATTTTCATGTAAAACCGATCAAACCTGTAGCTGTTGTACAAGATGCTGCCTCGTAATTTCTCCTTGCTGCAGTCCCCTGATAATAGCCTCTGCCTCGGGTCTTTGCAATAATTCTCTGGTAGATGGAGTATTGTTGACCATGATCTGTTGGTCCGTAGGTATCGGACTTACGCCAAGGATACGCTGCTGCGGCGGGGGCTGTGCCGGTTGCTGAATCGACTGAGAAGTTCCTCCCATCATCATTGAGAGCATTTCGGATTGCTGCCTTTGCTTCTGCTGTTGTTGCTGCTGAATCTGCAGCACTTTCATCAGATTCTCGTGCTGCATCTGTGACTGATGTGGATGTTGCACTGGTCCAAGCGGACCTACGTGATTGTATGTAGAAGGCATCTGGAGGGATTCGGATGGATGCGATTGCTGTGGTTGGACTTGGGGAATCTGTGGAATTTGCTGATGGCTGTTCAATTGAGAGTTTAGCAGCTGAAACATGAAACAAAAATTTTCTATTTTATTATTGATTTGTAAAATGGCAGCTAACTGTGCCTGCCAGTTTGTATTTTTGTCAAATTGTGAGGTATGCACAATGGAGAAGCAAGATGGTTTAAATGATAATTATGATTGACAGATATTGATTAAGTAAAAGTCAATAATTTACCTGCATAAGAGTGATTGGCTGTTGCATGGTTTGCTGGTTCGGTGGTGGTAATGAAGGCTGCTTTTGAGGAATAGGTCCATTTGCTGCAGGTACCGCTTGCCCTCCACTCACTTGAGCAAGCTATGGTGAATTAAATTTTTCAGAAACAATCTTTATAATATAAATTACGGTTTATAACAACTTCAAAAGCTGTAATCTGGCATTATAAATTAGTACAAAGGTTTTGATTGGTTTACCAATTTTTTGAAGGCGGATAAATCTTCCTCGGTTTTATTCATCTTGGGAATATCGGGTTGCGGCATAGGCGGTATACCACCGCGCATACGAGCTTCTAATTCTTCTAAACTAACTACTTTGCCAGCACCTTCAAACAAATTTAAAATTATTATATTTTTCTATACATATGTTTACATTCAATATTTTACAAAATGTACATTTATTGTAAAATATTGTGTCAATTTTTTCATATTACTTTGATCGTTATTTTTATAAATGGTACATAATTTTATACATACACGCGCACACACACACATCTTGTTAAAATTTCATGAGGTGAATCTATTTTTCGTTATTTTTTTTTTAATAAAAAAAAAGAGAAGAAATTTCTTTGCTTACGTTTCTCATAAATAGAAGATATTTTTAATAAACTTTTTGGTAAGAAATACTTCTTTTTTAATTCACTTTGTACTATAATATTAAATAAAAATTACTTTTTTTCATACAAAATACTTTAGTTAATTTTAGATTTTTCTACATAAATATAGGAGATTTTATCTTATACTTCTGTATTATAATTTGAGAAATATTTCATCAATAATATGCCCGCGCATATGCTTATAATCTCGATGGGCTGTGTTTCTTTAACTGTATTGACCCAAGTTAAAATGTTAATATACAATCTTTTTTTAAAAAGAATTTTGTATTCCACCATGCAATTTCATAAACATTGTATGACATTCCGCGAATTCCCAACAGCATTTAATAAATTATTTTTAAAATGACTTTGAAAAAGCTTTGAAATATATTTTGTATTAAATGGGAAGAACGATGACAATTCTGCTGAAAATAATCGTAACCTAATGATTCTTACTCCTAATAATTTTTACTTTCTAATAAGAAATGTACATCGATCGATTGTTTTACGCTGGCTAATAACTTAAATATACTACAATTAATTTTGTCAGTAACATATTTTAATAACAGAAAAGATAATAAACGTTGTGAAATTAATATAGTGTATAAAACAATGTTTTTTAAAAAAACATCTCAACATCTCTAACTCACCAATTTCTTTAATTGATGAGTTCTTCATCATGGGAATAACGGCGCTCGTCGCATCGCCCTGTCCATTTTGGTTGGGCGGTTTGCTATTACGCTGAAGCATTTCTAGTAACTTGATACCGGTACTTGATGAGGATTGAGGCGGCATAATGTTATTTTGCGTGTTAGCGGCAGGCGAAATTGGCGCGAAATATGTATTTGACTCGGTAACTGACGGGATATGAATATTCGGCTCAGATATATCATTAAGAAGGTTGTTTAATAATTCATCTTGAATCGTAGACCTTAGAGGATCTAACTGCTGATTTTGTTGTTGAAGCGGTGGACTTTCGCGCTTAAACCATTGGCTGAATCGTGAGCCAGATCCTCCGTTTGAACCCACATCGTTCTAAAAACAAATAATCACATTTTAAATGTCTTTGTCAATGAGTATGATTAGGTAAGTATTTCTTCAATAAAATTTATTGTAAGTAATGATGTAGAGGTCAACTTGGATTTTTTACTCTTAATAATTGTTCGATATAATTGAGTCGTTGGCTTTAAAACGAGTTAATTATTAAAGTTTATCATTCGCGCTTCTGCAAGTAAGTTAGAAATATATACATGAATGAAAAGTGAAAAGTAACTGTATTTACCGTCAAAAGGCCAGGTACGCCAGGAAAGCTATCGGACTTTAGGAAGTCATCAAGATTAAAGTCCGGATGGTTCTCCTTTTTCTTAACAGTTGCGTTTGACTGTTCCTCGGAGCCATTCAATGGCTCAGCAATCTTGCTGCTTTCGCCCGATTTCTCTTTAGGTACTGGTGACTGTGATTCGTTTTGTTCGGATATCGGCGAGTGCGGTGCTACAGCATTGATCGGATGGTCCATCGACGTCGGCGTGCTGCGACCTGGCGCAAATACACGGATACGGTTAAGTTGGCTTAAGCCGGCAATCAAATGACTGAGCTTTTAATTAAGATTTTAAAGCTTTTCGAAACAACACATTACTCTGCTTTTGCACAGAGAATAATGAGACGCCCTTCCCTTCCAATTATTTCTAACAAAAGTACTACTCCTTACTTTATAGCCGCAATATTCATTACTCGCTTCTGTTTAATCAACTAAATAACGTGTGAGACTGACACGCATTATTATTTACCGATCAATGGACTCACCTTTGGGACCACCGGTACTTTCGCTTTTTTCGACAGCTGGTGCAGTGGAGGCCGCGGCAGCCGCAGCCGCAGCCGCTGCAGCAGCCTTCTCTTCTTTCTCAAGGGCAGCCTTCTTGTTGCGCTTCTTCTGTGCGGGCGATTGCTTTTTGGGCTTCGCTGGACCACAGCCCATGGCCTTATCCTCGGGTATATCCTCGAAACCACGTAGCTCAATCGTATCATGCTGCGAGGTCGGCCCCGAACTGAACCATTCGGGCTCTTCTGCCTCGCGATTATCGCTAAAGGTTCGTCTACGCTCGTTGCTATACCTGCGACAGAATTTAAGAGGCAGCAATTATTTAAGGAGAATATAAGTTCTCAGCCGACGGTTTCTTTTCTCAAGGAGTTAAAGAGTTTATATCTGAGGTATTTTAATCAAAAAAAAAAAAAAAAAAAAAAAAAAAAAAAAAATTGGTTCTTTCTTAGGTTTTCTCATATTTTGCATAACTATTAATCGCAAATTTATAAATCGATATTATCGTAGGAAGCACTTATTTGCTGAATTTCTTAGTCAATTCATTTCCGAACATGGACCAGCTATTGCGCCCGAAACGATTTTCATAGTGAAATCGGGACGTTACAGAGATAGTTAAGTATTTTTACACACATTTTTGTATCTTAGGTATTTGGCCTGTGACTTGTACGAGATTTTTACAGCAATTACTTTTACATTTTTAAAAGTTTACATTACAAATTGCAGTTCAAATAATTACAACAATCCTAAATTTAATATACTCTTATAATACAAAGAATACGATAATTTCTTTTGGTATTGTCCACGAACCATTGTAATGCTGTATTAAGATATTATAAGATTGTAATAAGATATTCATGAACTAGAAAGTATTAGAATTTTATTTACTAAATTAAAATTTGAATAAACATTTAATAGTAATAATAATAATAATAATAATAATAATAATAATAATATTTATATATAAATCAGAACGAGTCTTTTTATTATGTATTATTAGGCGGAAAAAGTAAAGTCTATTGTGGCCGTCACGAATATAATCTTATGACACTTACCTCCCACGATCTCGGCCACCGCGCTCCTTGTCTCGATCGTTTCTATCCATACGATCACGATCACGATCGCGGTCACGATCACGATCGCGATCACGATCACGATCACGATCACGGTCACGATCACGATCACGATCACGATCACGATCACGATCACGGTCACGGTCACGATCACGATCACGATCCCTATCGCCAAAGTCCCGTCCAAAGGATCTGCGCTCGAATCTTTCCACTCGGTCGATCCTGTCATCCCTGTCTCTATCGCGATCACGGTCCCTGTCACGATCGCGATCGCTCCGCCGATCATTGTCTCGCAAGGAGCCTCCACTCCCGCGATCTACACCCCCAGTACGATCACGATCGCGATCCCGATCCCCGCTCCTGAACCCATAATCTGAATCATGCTTGTCATTTTCCGGCCGGAAGTCCCACATGTCGCGTGCAAGGATGCGCCCACTGCCGATTCGCCTCCCAGATTCACGATGGGATATCTGAAACATTAAATTGCTTAGCCATTATTTCATATTTTTTATATTGGCATGCTCTTTTACATCTGCACGCGAATAAATAAATAAATAAATAAGTCATTGTAAATTTATACAAGTAGAGAAGTAAGTAAGAATTGTCATTGTTGGCCTTGAAACTACAACTACGTACATGTAATTCAATTTTCGTGGATGAAAAGCATCCTTTTGCAAGTATAATGAAAGTAGCAAGTGCTTTCTTCGTTAATTGCGATTATAATCGAAATAGAATATTTTAAATCACTGAATTTAATGAATTTCAAATTATTGAAGCGCGATTAGCACTTCCCAAATTCAGTATACATTTCGTATAAAGACTTGCGTCGAGTTTGCAAAATTATTAATTCCCTGTTAAATTATTTAATAGCAGTACCGATGGTTTGCGCGGCGAAACACCGATTTAGAATGAAAACACGGCCGCAATATTGAACCTGCGAGACATTGTTTAAGGAATGAATCTATATGAAAAAGAAAAGTGAGTCTGGATAACAATGAATTACAGTATTGAATGGCTCGATGCAACGGTTCGTAAAAGAAGAGCAAGAGGGCGAATGAAATTGACATCGTTACCGGCCGGGGTGATCTGCTCACCTCATTCTTGCCAATAGGACTGACGGGACGCTTATTGGACGCTTCTGTGGTGACGTTGACGAAACAGCCGGAATGGAAGCTACGTCGCTGGGGACTAAGGACGATGCCATCCTGCTCTTTGCGGATGCGCTCCCGGGGATCGCCGCTGCGTCGCTTTGCCGCGTGGTTCTCTGCGACCGGCTCGCCTCGGTCGCGGGGTTTCACCTCGTCATCTGGCGGCGTCTCACTGCGCTTCCTGTTATGCCAACACTCCGGATCCAAAATGCCGCGCGAACTGCGCATAATATCGAAACTAAATCTTCATTATTTAAATTTTTTTATGAATTTCAGGCGGCTTAACCTTATTGCATCACTTAGGACTGGACGAGATAGATAGATGGACTAGCGTACCCAAGCGTACAAGTCTTGATTTGTTTAATTTAAATTTGACTCTAAGATCTTTGACTGTTAGGTGGAAATAATCATTCGGCAACGAGTGTTCGAATTCTTCAAGATTATTCATTATTCGAGTTAGCATTCTGTTTTTTACCTACGCAGTTGTTATTGCGGTATTCCGACACTCATAAAATAACTGTAAATTTTATGCGAAAGCACATGTAGATAACTACGTCAAGAAATCGATAAAAATATAGAACGACAATAGACTATTCGTAAAATTAATAGATTTTGACTCGAATCAGTGGAAATTTATTATTGAAGTCAGTTGAAGAGTTATTATCAAGTTTATATGAACATTAAACTTTATTTGTTATAAAAGAAAAAGAAAAAGAAAAAGAAAAAAAAGAGCACTTTCAATCAACGTGAAAATCCAAACTTTCTATTTTATTAGACGCAAATAATGTTTTTAAGCTGTAAACCTGTGGCATTTTTAAAAATATGGAATTAAAATTTTGGAATTAAAAATTTAGTTTATATATTTTTATACTATATATACGATTAATGAGATTTGTCGTAATATTAATGTTCTATTTATTGCTTGGATAGATAAATGTAACTAAACGATAATGTCAAGATTCCACATTTCTTTAAAAAATAGCAATTATTTTCTTTAATATTTTTGAGTCTATCATGAAAATTAACACAAGGTAAAATATTGTTTTTCGTTCGTACTATATTGACTATATTGACATTTTCATATTTTATCAGCCGTTAAATAAAAATAAAAGTTTTAAATATAAATACATACTTAATAAAGGCAGGTTTTATAAAGTCAGGTTTTCGTTTCGATAATGGAAGTGACTTAATTTTCATCAGCTCCTCCTAAAAAAAAAAAAAAAAAAAATATATTATACGTTACGTGCTATGACTGTATAAGGTATTTATAAATATTATTTAACTCTAGAAATGTAAAATGAAGAAAACGTACTCTGCTATACTGATATTGAGGTCTCGAACGACCAACTTCCACAATGGAAGTATCGGTCACCTCACCGGCAATTGACATTGCAATGATTGCCTCGTCTCCTGAAATATCCCAAAGTAAAATATATTCAATTAAGTTGAAATAAACAAAGATCACTTCATTTAACTGTTGCACGCGTACACGCGTGCGTGCAAACGCATTCACGCACACACATATTTATTTACCGGATCATTTAATTGAGTTCAGATTGTTAAACAAAGTTTTATTGGTTTCTAATGTAACAATTATCATTTATTCTACAGTATTTACCATCGACAATCATTATTACTTGGTTTTTTCTTTTACATAGTCGTTTTTAAAATACGAGTTGTAGTGCCATCATCCTTCGTTAAAAGTAGGCGTAACAACTGGAAAATAATAAGACACTAAAATGACGTGAAAACCTTAATAATTTATCAAGTTCACCGAAATTTATAATAATCCAGCAATTAATATACACGCATTAGTATACACGAATGCATTACATATTCGATAACAATACGCAGTCCAATTTTTGAAAATGAAGATATAAGATAATAAAGTTTTAAACAGATGTCCAGAAGTGCGGAACAAATGCTAAACGCTTCATTACTCTCTCTATATTTCACGTAATTTATTTCATACAACGGCAAACCAATCTAAATATTGAATTGGCAATAATCTAAATATTGAATTTGCAGCCCGAGCCAAAGCTTATTATCGCACTGGCGTCGAGTAATGAACAATACTTGGCAGGACTTGTCTCATCACAGGCGAATCCGCACGACACTTCTCACTAACAAGTCCATGCCGTCGATCATCCATCATCAGCTGGAATTAATCCGACAGTCATTGTCGCTTGGCTCATCAGCGTTAATCGTTCGCCAGAACCCTTACAAACTCGTTAAACCCAAGCCCCACACTCGGCGCACTACTTACGAAAGTTGAACTTGCCGGTGAGGGGAAGCACCTTGGCGCTGGCGCGCTTGGACCACTGGTAGGGCTTGGTTTGTTGGGCGAGGGTCGAGTCAAGGCTCGGCACACCGGTGGGCCCGACCAGCGGACGCCGGCGTTGGCGTCGGTAACGGTGAGCATTGCCCCCGACAACCTGCTGTTGCGCGCCGCGCGTCTCCAACTTCATCCCTGCGGATCCTTTCCTCTCGTTTTCTTCCGGCTTCCTCCTTTGACTTGTGACCTCGGCAACTTTTCGAATTCCGACTTCCGAGCTTAAGCGCGTCCCTCTATTCCTCTACGATTATTCTAATTCAAAAAGGCGGCTTAGCTTATTACTTGCAACGCTTGGCACACGCCCCTTTTACATCGCAAGCACCTTACGCGGTAACTTTACGACCACGTGGACTTTTAAGGATGTTTGATCTGTATTTTTTTACTTTATTGTACAAATCAGTTGCGTTGATAGCGCGAGAAACAAAATTAACACACACACACACACACACACACACATACACGAAGAAAAATAAAAAATCTACGACAAAACATTTCTTGCTTTCAATATTCAATAAATCTAAAAGCTTTGAATTAATAATTATACAATTAAAGATATTCGGTTAAAAATATTCAGATTTTACTATTAAAATCCTACCGTTCATTGCTAACAACTGACCCTTCTGTTTGACTGTTATCCACTGTCTTTTTTAATTAGAAAATATTAAAAAATAATAATAATAATAACAATAATAGTAAAATTATTTTTATATACAAACGTAAAATGTTTTTTTTAGTATTGTATTTAGAATAATATTTTCAGATTAATAAGACAAACGATTCTTCCATATAATTTATTTTTCATTAAAATTTCGTTATATCGTGTGAAGATATCTTCACACCGACAATTTGTGAAACAAGTATTTCCAATAACCAAATATTATCCATTTTTCAATTAGAATATAACATGTTTTACAAATGTGCATGCTTCTTAATATTTCCGTTGTCTATTAATTACCCTCAATAATGTCAACGCTAGTATATATATATATATATATATATATAAATATAACTACTGAATTATAATTTCATATGCAATGTTAGATATGATGTTAGGGATGTATAAAATGCATTTACTGCTCATTAAAATATTAAAACCCATTTAATTCGAATAGATTATTTTAATAGCTTTTTACTGAAAATATCTATTGAAAACAAATATACTTAAGCGAAATATTATGAATATTAAAGACAAGAAACTTCTAATACTCTATAAGAATGTAAACATACTATATTATACAAACTGACTACACTAGAAATATATCATGTTTCATAGAATTGATAAGAATTTGGATTTTCGATTATTTAATAATTAGAACAAATCAATCATGGCTACGAATAATTAAGTTATGATTATCGAAAAATTGTCTATGATATTAAATTAATCACTTTTACAGTACAAAAATAATCATTTCAAGCTTTAACTAAACAAAAATTATGCAAGTCCGATTTCAAATAAATCTGACTTTTATACGATTATGTAATTTGCTTTACATTATAAAGTAGTTTTTCGTGATTGAATCGAATTCTAACCATTTGAGGATAATAGTAATGGGTATATTAATTAATTGACGTGTATCAAAACTCATTTTTTCTTCTCACTAATCATTGATTGGCTGAAAAAGTGCTTACCTTTCTTGATACTTCCTCAAAAGGAAGAGTCAGGCGATTTTAAGTCGTTCGATGGATACAGATAAAGAATTTCCGAGGAAAAAGTTAAAAGCCTTCAACACTAGAAATTTAAACGTGAATTTCTATTTCTCTTTCTATACTGTGCGATTCAACGAAACTAGAAACTGTTGGATTTCGAATTTGGGGCGCAATGATCGTCAATCGCTTCTAACGGCTTAGAATTTGTTTACTTTTGAAGAGCACAGAAAGGGCACTTTCGTTATAATGCTCATGTGCGCGCCTTTTTTCTACATTTACATTAATAAAAAATAATAATTAATTGCCGTATGATATTCAATTTTTAATTTGCTGGATTCTTATTTTATCAAATTTTTCTTATAAATAACTTCAATTCTATGATGCTGTTCACAATAATCGAATATATAGCTTTCGTGCACTGAAGTTTTCATCGCTTCAGAAACAACAAAATTTTTACTAAATTTATTAACCACATAGTAGTACGTACATGTATAATCATTATAATATTTATTCAGCAATTTGAATTATTGAACGTTATTTTTGATACAGAGTCACAATATTCACCTTTCAAGCAAGAAAATAGCAAATAGCAAACACGATAATATGAAACCAAAACAGTTTTAATAATATATTTATTATTAAATATATTGATATTCTAAACTATGTAAGCCTTTATTATATCGCAGTACTTTAAAATTAAATTTAGTTGAATTATATACTTTAAAATGAAATTTAAATCTTTGTGATGTTTATTTTTCTAAACTATTAATATTCTATATTCGGAAGAAAATTTTTCGATAAATTATTGAAATAATTGATAAAAATAATTAAACAAAATAAAAAAAACAAAAAATGCAACATAAAATGGTACTGAAGTTCATATCAAACAAAGGTATATCCTTTTATTAGCGTTTATCATCTACCTGCTTAAATACTAAAAGATCAAAAGGAATACAACAAACACAACCTAATGATTTAAAGAGTGACGTTCAAACCGTCAACGGGTTAACGTCTTCACGAGATAAAACACGATTTTTTTTTAATTAAATAAGAGAACACTTTGAGCTTTGCACTCGCGAATAAACCGTTGAATCTTTTCTTTTGTGTGCCTGTGTGTGTGTCTGTCTGTCTGTCTGTGTGTGTGCGCGCGTGTTGTGTTTTATTTATTTATTTATTTATTTTTTTGAATAATTTAGCTTTATCTATTTTAAAAATAACGACAAGCTAAATGACAATAAATATATCGTAACGCGTAAAGAATAATAGAATGCTTCATGGATATCGAGGAAGGAGAGAATAGAAAAAGAGTCAAACTGTGTTTGTAACAACAGCACGAGCGAAAACTTGGGGAAGTACTGAAAAATCACCGAAAAGTCGAGGCGCGAGATACATGGAAGATTATTATATTCAGTTGTTGATTGGCTCGCATATATACTGATTTTCTTGTATTAATGTCTCAATGTAAACATAAGATTGAGTGGGTCGTTGGCTTCTTAAGGAATGGGTTCGAAAAGTAAAAGTTGTTGCGTCCCAACAAGAGATAACCCGAAATTACGATATTTAACAGCGCATTCACATAGGTCTATTTATTTATGATTAGATTTACAATTTCATATTCCTATATAAACGAATTAAAATACGCATAAGACAACGATATTCTATAGAGCAATTTTGTCTTATAACTAGTATAAAAATAAAAATTGAATTGAAAAAGCATAAAAGATATTCTGATAAAACATTAATAATCTTTAAAAAATCTTTAAATAATTTATATATACTATTAGGCATATACGTTGATAAAATATTAAATAAGTAGGATTTAATAAGAATTTACATAAATCTTACAACAGCCATTTTGTTTTTTTTAATAATTAAAGAACTATTATTATATTAAAAAATAGGAAAATGTTAATAAAATATAATAAAACATTTAAGTAATATTGTTATGTAGTTTAAATATACATTCAAGATTTGTAATTAATAATAGTTTCATTACAAATATAATCTCAAATTTACATGATTAAATAACTTCATATATATAAAATTAAAACTTAAAATAAATAGAAGATTATATTACAAAACTATTAGGCTTCATTATAAATTGCCTTAGTTACAATACAAATTATCTTTTTAAACTTTAAATAATACCAAATGCCTCTTTTATGGTTTATTGATGTGATTTATTAATTGTCATTAAATAACGAGGAAAGCGAATGATCCAAAACGAATACTTAATAGGAAACAGTGTAAATTTTTTATTTATAACAATGGTTATATTATTAACAGTATCTTTGATAATTTCATTAATTAATAGTAAATTTTTAAAAATTTATCAGGTTTCAAAAAAATCAATGAAAAACAAAAAATAATAAATTTTTATCGACAAAAAAAGTTTATATTTATTTTCTAAAATATTGTTATATTAGTTTTTTTTTTATAATAGTTTTTATTAGTCACATAATCATTATAAATGAAATAAATGAAAAAAATTTAATTATTAGTATTAGTATATTTGCTTTTTTTTATATACAGAGATATTGAATTACTTTTGCAATAAATTACTTTTATATAAAAACTTTTGTTTTTATAAAAAAATATTTAAGAATAATTTATCTTACAGGTATTAAAACATATAACGATTTTGTATTATAAAATACTATGTGATAAATAATTGAAACTTTTATACATTAAGGTTAGGATGTCATGTAAAATTATTTTAAAATAAAATCTTTTCATAACATCAAATAAGAAATTGAAGAATTGAGAATAATAAAATATAGAGCACTTCATTTATCGTTTATCGAGATTGTCATTACATTAATAATTTCATTATTTGATTGTCATTATAATAACCAAAATTTGTATACATTTATTATGGGAAGGTTAGATACGCAGATATAAGAAAGAGAAAATTTAGTTTGAAATTGTAAAATTAAATGTAATTTTACATTACATTATTAATACATTAATAATCATTATTAATCATTAATACAATGATTAATACATATAATAATAATGATTACCAAAAAAAAAGTTTAAAGAAATAAATAATATGCGGATTATGTTTTCAATCGCTTCAAACATACATTTTTACAATTGCAGTAATTTACTCAACAAATTATCAAAGAAAAAATGAATTATAGTATATTATAATAAAATATCGTTTAACTCATAGTTTTTATTTAACTATAAATTATAATATTAAAATTAAAAAAATACTGTAGATATAGATTATATTCGTTACATTAGATGTATGAATGAGGATTATACATATTCGTATCTACGCACACATTTGTGTACATGACTTTACACATGCGCAAACTTATTACATACTATAAAATTTAATTTTAAATAACAATTAGTCTGTAGAAATAAAATAATATATAATTCAGAATAGTTTATAATACTAACCTTCACCTTCACGTTCACCCTTGGCTTCATCTTTTGGATCTAATTCAGGTTTCTCGCTGGATGCAGAGCTGATAGACATGTTTCTCTTTTAGACTTAGCTCCCAGTTTTTGGGAACGGCAAGCCAAACAATGCACAATCCAGGGTATGTACAGCCTTTTGTCAAAATTACTCTTACTCAACTAATGTAACTCTCACATTAACACAGTTAGATATACACACCCTTGTTAAAGAAATCTCTTTTCTTTTTATACAGGTCTTTAAATCTAATTAAGTTTGTGTGTTTGTATATATATATATATATATATATATATATATATATATATATATATATATATATATAAATATATATAGGTATACACACCTTACGTATGTACTGTTTAATATCACAGACTTGTTTTTATCTTTTACAATATTTTTTATTTTCCTATAATGTATGTCTATAATATGTGTGTATATTTGTCTGCTTGTACAATATTCCTCAGATGTGTATGAATATTGTCTGAAAACTTGGTGGTTTTTCACTCTCGCCGTCCGTATAATGATTTTTTCCTTTTCACTTTAAATGTGTATATGGAAGCAATCGTACGAGAAAATGGAAAAAGTTGAGGCTCGAGAAAAGTGTTTATGTGCTACGCGCTGATAAGAGAGAGACAGAGAGCGTATAAGCTTTTGCACATATATACATGAATATGAATATGCGTGCAGCTGTACGCGTATTGTGCGTACAAAATAAAGATAGAATGATACAAAGAGGGTAGAAAATTTGTTCTTTGACTTTCTTTGAATTTATGAGAATATGGAAAGAACACAAGCCTTGTATAAACGCTGATTCAACCGAAATTCATAGTACTCCTTCCATTCTAAATCCTTACACAAAAATCTTACTGTCTCTCTGCCTCTCCCTTTCTCACTCTCTCTCTCTCTCTCTCTTCCTCTCTCTCTCGCTCTTTCTCTCTCTCTCTCTCTCTCTCTCTCTCTCTGTCTCTGTCTGTCTCTTTCAATGCAATGTCAGTAAGATTTTCTTATCCACGATCGGTCTGTGTACGTCGTTGCACATGTGGATTGTACCGATGTATAACCGTATCCGACTGTAGTGTACGTGCGTGTACCTTTGGTAGTACAATACTATATAGGCTTTTCCGCACTGCTTGTCCTATGCAAAAATAGAAAATGGCGCACACGACGACGAGTACATGTGTGTATGTGTAAGTATGTAAATTTACGTGTGTACACTTTCTTGATTTCTTTACTTTTTAATCTTCTTTTTATGTACAGCTTTCTTAGTCAAAGGCTTCCTCTTCCGTGCAAATACTTCTTTTTTCTTTACGAACCACTTGGATTTCTTTCAAGCTTTAAACATGGCTCTATAGTTATAGTATCGTTTTTCGTTTTTTCGCTTCCCTTTCTTCCTATCTCTCTCTCTCTTTCTCTTTCTCTGTCGCTCTGTCTCACTCGTTATTTCCCCTTTCGCTGCTTGAGCCCGGATAGTTATAATATTCGTACGTATGCACGTACATAAACTAGAGAATATTGTAAGTACAGCATTGAATTTAGACTTATTCTCCTCTCTTTTTCTCTCTTCGATAGTTTGCTCGTCTTTTCTACCGTACTTGCTTGTGTATATACGTGGGTATGTGCGTACGCGCAAATGTAATCGCGCGCGCGCGCGCGTATAAATATATATATATATATATATATATGCGCGCTCACTTGTGTGCGTATGCGTGCGCGCGCGTATGCATATACGAATGTATGTATGAATGCACGTATGTATGTATATATATATATATATATATATATATATATATATATATATATATGTATATATGCGTATATATAGGTTTATATACGCGTGTGAGAGGGACGCGCGTGTGCGCCTGTGTGTGTAGGGTTGGGGTGGGGTGGGAGGAGGAGGAGGCTTGTCGCGTATCGGCTTTCTCTTCACTCTCGTTACCGCACAGACACGTGTATAGAGCGAACTGAAATGCACGCTTCCTTATCGTTGGCTAGTTACTGGTTATCTCCTATGCTGCTTCTTCGAGCTCCAGCGAACGTTTGGGGGCTGATTTGGGGTTTGGGAAGGGAACGCGTGTGGATCTGTCTTTTTCGCCGATCGGTTGATGTACACTTTAGGCTCCTCTATCTTTGTCACACTCGCACGCTTTTTTGACCTGATTGCAATGAAAAATGATGTGACGCAGTGCCGCCCCCTTGTTGATTGGACTATGCGGCTAAAGGCGGCGTTACGGTCTGTATTGACGCGTCAAAAATACATGACCAAGGTCGTATTTCATTAAACGTCTGTTAAAATTATTTGCTAATTTTTATTTCATTGGGGTAATTGTAACGTTGTCATAAGATTCATTGAATTTGCCTGCCTCGGGCAAGTTTAATGCCGTACATGCGAAGATATTAGAAAAAGAGCCGAGATGGCTTGACTAACCAGTGTTGACAAATTTCGATATTTTACCGTATGTTACTCGTATGAGGAGGGGAAAATCAAAATTTTGTTAAAGATACCGTCCGCTTGAGTTTCGTAAATTCATCCTAAAATTAATATTCTAATTGTCATTTACTTTGTTGGTTAATTGAATTGAAAGACTTTTATTTTTATTATATTTCGATCGTTCAACGGTATTAACATTTCTTATTAATAATATAAGATGTTAGAGTATTTCAATTTTTTTTAAATCTGCTTTAATTAAAGAAATGCTCTAATTAAAGAATTAAAGATTTTTAATTACTTTTTGTTTTTGTACTTATTGTATTACAAAATAATTATGTTAGTGACAATGGCATAATTACTTAAAATACTTAATTTTATAATTTTTCAATGATTAAAATATTTAAATGGTTTTTGGTAAAAAAAAAAAAAAAAGAAAAAGAGAGATTATAATTTGTATTCAAAAGTAATTTAATTTCTTATAATAATAAGATAAACAAATTTTACTCGCATCCTTTAATTACTTAAAGAATCTGAATGTATAGACAAAATATTATTAAAGAGATTAAGCATTAATAACGATCATAATTGAAAAGAGTACGAAGGAAATAAAATAAATGCCAGTCAGATTAATTAAATTCAATCTATATGACTATCCGTTCAATTATTTTCTGTAAAGTTTCATAAGCATCAATGAAGTATTACTTATTACTTAACTCCTACACATTCTCAAATATCTCAAAAATCTTTACATTATTTACAGTCAATGTATTTCAAGTTTTTTTTATTTTACTACGAATACGAATAAAACACTGGTTGTGCATTTATCGTATTGCGGTTGTTTATTTATTGAACTTTATAATAATGCTAGTAGAATTTTTCTAATTTTCAATAATTGTGTTAATCAATAAAATATTGTACTACAAATTTAACAATTAAAAATACTGTAAATAGTTGTTTGTAAAAGTTTTTTTCACCTCCTTTTAATAATATTTCAACAAGGTTTTAAAAATGCCTTTTGTTTTTCCGTTGATTTCGGATTATTACATTTTCTGTCTTAAGTAGGATATTCTTCTTTTTTTTTCATACGACTAATGATCAACGCAATCTTAAACTTTTTTTATATTATTTCTATACTTTTGAAAACGCATTAATATATTATTATGGTGCTTCAGAAATCGGATAAAAAATATCATTTAATTATCACCTAAATTTTAAATCTTGACTTGTATTTCATGTTTAAGGCTTTGAAATTTAAGAAATTAATTTTTTTGATAAATTATTAGCTAATAATATTATTTTTTAAAAACTAATAAGCTCCTGAAACTTAATATATACAAAATAAAAAAAATATCGCAAGAGAAATATAATTTTAGCAGTTATACCAAATTTTAATTTACTTATCGAGTAAAATATAAATACGATTTATAGAAAATATAACACATTAAATGTAAAATTACCTTGTTTATTTTATATATACAAATGATTATAGCTTTTTCTGATATATCTATTCTTACGATTGTCTTATAAAATAAATAGATTTTATTTAATCGATATCTAATCAATTCTTATAGTTATTAGGTTAACATTTATATAACATTTACTAGTTTTAAAATGAATTAGTAATGTATTACATCACTACACATAAAATAAACGAACATAATTTGTGAAATCTATATTGTAAAATAAATATATTGAAGTTAGTAAACAAATTAATATTTTTTTTTAAGTAACAATAAATACAAAATAAATACAGGTTGTTTGTTTATGTTAGATTTATAATACATAATTTATAACCAATTTTCTCTTTTAAAAATTATAATTAGAAATCATTTTTCGTATTTTCAGTTAAAACGTATAGTGATTTAAAAATTATACATGGTTTTAAATCTAAATATTAAATAATCAAATATAGACAGTTTAAAAATTGATAATAAAAGGGTATATTGAAAATATTCAAAATTTTAATTAAATAATTCGATTTGGATACTATTATAATATAAGTTAACTGATTGTAAAATTTTTAAGCATTTTTATTTCCAATAAGAAGAATTGAAATAGAGAAGAACAAAAACATTTAAATAAATTAAAAATATAATGTTTAGTTAAATTTAAATTTCTAACAGCATTCATTAATAAATAATACAGAAATATTTTATTTATTTATGAAGTTTTATAATTTTTATAGATATTGTAAAATTTTCGAATAATATTATATAAATAATATCAATAATAATTATTATGAAACTGTTAGTTTAATTTGAAAATAAAATTTTAGGTATAAACAATTTTTTAAACAATATGTATTAATTAAATATGCGATAGATTTATTACTAAAAGTTATTTATATATAAAACAAATAGATTGTAAATGACAAAATTAGGTGGTGCAGATTTAATTTCATAATTGACATACAATTTAAAATTAATTTCTGGCTTGAATTAAAATAAATTAATACTAATCAATACATCATAAAATAATACACATGATTTAATACAAATTAATACTAAATTTATTTGATAAATTTAATTATACAGGCTTCCTATGCATTACTATGCATTATTTTATACAACGCTGCTGTATAATTGTTAATATTTGGCTACTAAAAATATTTTTTTTCTATATACATATATTTACTAATTATGACAGCATGTCAATCCTTGGTAAGAAGTTTAAAGTGTTAACTACTATATATATATATATATGTATGTATATATATAAATTGTAAATAAACAAATAAAATTGTGTAAAATAAAAATTAAACATTATAAGTCTCAGTATTTAAAAATATACTAAATTCTTTCCTTCTTTTTACTGAATTATGAAAAATAAAATGGAATGTAGCGTGTTGATGTGTAAAATAATAAACTCTATTACAGATATTATATATATATATATATATATATATATATATATATATATATAAACTCTTTAAAAATGTGCAGTTGGTAATTTAATATTATATGAATTGTTCTTATAAAACTTATAGAATAATAAATTAGTATTAGAAACATTTTATGTTAATTATAGTCTATTAAAGGTAAATAACTTTTCACTCTTTTATATTTTATTCTTAGTACAAATTAGTTAATTCATTAGCAGTTTTTAATTTTAATTTATATATGAAACTTCAGGAAAAATGATTTATTACAGAACATTTGTAGCGAGTTGCATAATTTTTATGACTTATGAATATTGTTAGGACATTTGTAATATGTGCATCGTGGAACTTGATATTTGTTTCAACTTAATATTAAGTATACATGCATGAAAAATTTGAAAAAAATATTTTAATTTTTGTGCATGTTTAAATATCAGATTAAAATATAAAATACAATAGATAAAATACTGTAAATTTAGTCTGTTAAGAATTTAAGCTAAAATTAATTTACATTTCTTCGTTTTGTCATTTTCATTATTCAAATAGGCATACATATCTTAAAGCCTGCACCTTATGTGCTATTTAAATATTATAATAAATTATATATTTTGATAATTATAAGAATAATAATAAATATTCACAGTTCAATGAAAAAAAAAAAAAAAATACCAATTTGTCAATTAAAAATTAAGAGCTTATTCGACGATTTTGACAACATTGGTTTTATTAATTTTGTTTAATTATAAATATGTTGTCGATGCTCTTTAATACTTAAAACATATTTCATTTTCCCTAATATTGTTATTGCGTAGCATGTGAAAGTATATCTGTCATCGTTTATTATCTAAGATGAAAATTAATCAATAAATCTTTTGATTTTGTTTCATGAAAAATGTGATGAGATGAAAAAAGATCTTCAACTAAGGATTCCTTCCTTTCCTTTATTGCTAACTAGTTAAAAATGTAAAAAAAAAATCGATACTTTAGGTTGCATCACTTGTCGATAATTCTAACGAATTAATTAAATGCCGTTTCTCTTGTTGTTGTGTTTTAATCCACTGTTTATGTTCGCACAGATAAGGATAAAGCGGCACAACCATTACACTTATGTCATCGACAGATGCCATTGGAAGTATCTCGTCCTCTCCATTTTCTTGCATTTCAGATTTAAGTCTCCACACTCGACCAACTAATCTACCTCTTGCTGCCTGAACCAATTCTTGTGCGCCCATTGTCAGTCTGTGTATAATACGTTCATTTGTGTATAGTAAAATAATAAAATAATGATTTAAGATGAAGTGAATAAATTTTGTAAATTAAATTTTGTGAATTAAATTTTTCTTTTCAATTTTATTCTGATTACTACAAAGTACTTATTTGAAAAATTTTTTAAACTTGAACCTTTATTATATATAATTTTATGTATTAATGAGATTAGATATTAATTAAAATGAAATGATCTTTTATAAAATTAATGCAGATTAATATTACTTATAATTCTTTTTTTAATTAAAGGATGATTTTTTTCTTCTTTTTTCTGTTTTTGCAATTTTTTTTTTTTTTTAGAAAACTTCAATTTTACAACAATAATGTATAGAATTGTATTTAGATATGTAAATTTGATTATTGTACCTGTATTCTAATGATGGAGTATCTGGTGCAAGAGTCTTTCTAAGTATGTTAGCTGCAGTCTTATCAGAAATTACATCCCATAAACCATCCGTTGCTAAAACAATGCAATCTCTTTCATTAAGATTACACTCTTCTAAGTTTATTGATTGCACTTCAGGTTGAGATGACAAAAATGGTTTTATATTAACACCTGTATTTGCAGCTTTCAGTCCATGATCACCAAATCCTCGAGTAACTCCTATTGTGCCCATCACTCTACTCTACAAAGTTAACATGCTAATATAATTTTTTAATAATTATTAGTGTTAATACATTACATAATTAGCAAATAGTTTATTTAATATAAAATTATAATCAAAGAAACTTACTCGTTTTCCCTGTCCAGATACAAGAGGTAACCGTAGATCAGGTTGTGATAAAATTTTATATGCCCAGCCTGTCATGTATGGCTCCCTATATAAAACCGTTGAACCTATATCTCTTTGTAAAGGTCTTTTTTTAAATTCTAGTGATGTAAAGTGTCCTTTCAAAAGTTCTCCACTTTTTAAATACCCTAAAGCACGTACACGACTTGATTCTGAATCAGGGGTATGGTCTCTAGTAAGCGCTCGTTCACTATCTTCCAATATCATAATCGTTCTATGATAAAATAAAATTATTATTAAAATAATTTATTGGATGATAAATTTTAATAAATACTTATAAATAGAAATACATATTTATTAATAAAAGAATACAATATATGTAGAGATTTTCAAATATACATTATAAAATACATAATTTAAAAACTTACAGTAGCAATTAATTTATTAAATCAATTAACTTTCAACCTACAATTTCGATTGAATATATTCAATATAGTAAATTTATTAGTTTAATAAAGATAGGGATATATAACCAAATATAATAAATTATACAATTAAGATAATGATCGAACCTAGAATCTCCAGCCCCAGCAGCATAAAGTTTGCCATGTAGGAAAAGAACTGTTAAAGATGTACATCCTCCACCTCCTTTTTGTGCTTGATGTTCGACCATTTGATCCATTTGTCTATAAGCAAGTTCAATAGCTCCTACAATTAAATCTTTTCCTTGTATCACAGTAGCTTCATTATTTTCAGATAATAAAATTTCACCTGGTATAGCCATTAACCTTTCCTGAAAGTATGTATACATATATATATTAATAAATATTTTATTAATTTATAAGAGCAAAATTTTTATAATATACATAATGTTTACCAAAATTATCCTATGGAGATGTAATCTTGCAGTTAAAGCTACTTGATAGCCAGCATGACCATCAAACATTGAAAACATAACATACGGTAAACTTGTGTTTGCATCCGTTAGTTTTAAGTCACCACGCACCGCTGTGGCTTGATCCTCGTTCCATGTACTTTTTCCAGCATTTATGCATTCTGCATAACCAGCGCACCATGGCAATCTACTAAGATCTCTAGGTACTATTATTGGACGTACTTTATGATCCGCACTCACCTAAAATAATTATTTTAAAAAATTTTTAAGTATCGTAAGCTTTAAATAATTGATAAATGACAGATTCCCGACAGCCTGTGCATACTTGATAAAAGTATAAATTTTATCTATCATTAAATAAATAAAAGAAAGTAAATAAATTAAAGGGATATTCTTTATTATGTCATAATATTTATTATTTTAATATATTATAGAACATTTTTTTCAATCATAATAAATGAATAATATTTTAGTAATTTCATTTCTATACAATTATTATGCAACAGCTAATATGCATAATACAAAATATTCCGCATATTTTGCCAGCTTTTAATAATAATATAAATTTATAATATTTATTTCAAGCAATTATTACGGTTATTATGTATTTCATAGTATTTTTAAGATTAATGTAAAGGTTTGAGTAAATTCTGTCAAATCGCTATGAATATTATTTAAAAATCTAATTGAGATATTATTGGGATACTATAGCTTTAAGTTTGACAAAAGTATAACAAGTATAATAGTTGATTTTTTCTTATCTTAATATAAGATAAGAAAATATTTACCTGAGTTTCTTCATTTGTTAAACCAAGAAAACTTGGTCGGCTATATGGTTTTGTTTCAATAGTTATTGGTATATTAGAGTTTATCACATCCGTAACTGTTTCATTATCAGATTCATTATTATATTGTAAACCTAACTCGCTTCCACCAACTGCACTCATCAATGCATATTTGAATCTACCAAACATGATTGTATCTTTCTTCTAAGTTTTTTTACAGATCTAATAAAAGAAACTTATAATTTTATTATATAAAAGCCTGAATATTACGATAAGTTGTTAAGGGCTATTAATTCTTTGGACATCAATACCACATTTTAGTAAATAATATATTTAATGGAATGCCTACGAGCACTATTTTATACTCGTATATAAAAGTCTTATCACATCGTTTATCTAAAATTAAAGATTATGATTAATAACATTGAGATGGATAGATACATAAAATATTATACACGATGGTATATATAATGTAAATGCTTTGGATGTAATATTAACAGTGTAATTATTAATTAAATAAAAATTATTAATAAATTAAGTTATGTATAAAGAATAGAAAATTAATTCATTTCCTATCTAGTCAAGCTAAACATTTTTACTTTTGACAATGAAGAGATAATTATAAAAGAATAAAAGTTAATTTTAATGCAAATTAGCATAACTAACATTAATTGAATATAGTTTATTAAAATTAGTGGCGACTCTAAATAACATCTTTATTTAAATAATAAAACATTACAAAGTTACGTACTTTAACGAATGTCTTATATTATTGTCATTTTATATTTTATTCAACATACTTAAAAGTAATATTAAAATAGTTATTCCTTAACCGTCACATAATCCAAAAATGTCTACAATTTTTCCTTCGCTTAGTTTCTATTTTTATAATCTAACATATGTGTGATTAGAATTCTCGTTCACGGCGAAATCACAAATCGAATTAAAAAATAATACATTTCTCTTCACGATCCTTGGTTACACGATGGGACGTTACGTACTTGGCTTATGAGGTTAGAACTTGATATCTACTCGTAAATCATATCAGTTATACCATTCTGCTCTTACTCAAACAAAAATATTGGTAGCCTACAACTGCAATACATCTTTCCTTCTGTCGTAGCACCTTTCTCTATTAATCTTTTCCTACAGTCTTCGTACAAAGTCGCGTCACACTTGCGTTGCTTAAGTGAACCTAAATCAGCTGTTTTCAACTGCCTAGGAAGTAAGGAGGTCCGAGGCATTATGTGACAGACAATTGCGAGTGAGGCGATATAAGCGAGAACCTTGTTGCGCTTATAATTATTATGTGAATGAATTTTTTGTGTATTCACAAGATAAAATGTCTGATAAGAAGAACAAATTAAAAAGATCGAGGATTTCTAGCGAGGTAAGATCATGAAATTATAATGTTATAACTTCTTTTTAGTTATAAATTGAGTATTTTCACGATGATATTTAATGTTGACGTTACAGGTTAGTATTAAAAAATTAAGGAATATTTTTTTATATCTAGCCATTTTACTTGATGTAACGATTACAGGAATATATTTAAATAACATATTATTATATGCATTTATTTTAATATATTTATGTATATATAAGTTGAAGTTTTGGATTCTTGATAAATATACAATAAGATATTTTACCATCAATGTGGTAGAGGCATGTAACATGATTGGAAAGTGATTATAAATTTTGTCAATTTTCAAGAGACAATTTATTATATCTAATATAAAAAATGTTTAAAAATGTGCAATTGAAATAGTTTCCAATTCGATTGAGTAATTGAATAAAATATTTTTATTTAAATATGTTAAAACATTTTATTTCGTAGGAATCTGATAGTAGTTCTACAAGTTCTTCCGTAACTTCGTCATCTGACGATGAAACGGATGCAAAGGATTTAAAACCTATCAAGGAATATATGTCCAATCGAAAAGAACTAGCATCGCAACTTTTCAAATCCGTGAAGACAGAAAAAATTCGCATGATGTTGCCACAAATTTTAAAGGTATTACATAAACAAATATGAGTTTATCAATGTTTTCATAAAAACAAAAATGCTTTCTTTTAGAAAGTTGAATTTAGTGACCTAGAGGAATTGTGCGCCAATGAATTGATTGGTATGTCCAGGTCAAGAATTATGTGTATTATAAATGGTCAAGAAATGTTACAATCTTCTAACACAGAAGAGTCTGATGATTTAGGTAGTTTGTATTTATTGTTAGCTTAAATTAAAAAGCCAATATCAAAACTATTTAGTTTTATTTGATTGTAATTACTTTTTTTTAAATGCTTTTGATGAAGTTAAATAACATCTATGATATTGATTTTACCAGGTCCCGCTCTTGAAATTATTTCCGATACAGAATGGCTAAGCGACGAAGAAATAAATATAAAAGAAGGTGCAAATTCAAAGAATAAGAATACAAAGAAATTAAAGAAAAAATGTCAAGAGCAAAAAAAACAAGATCCTCAACCTCCCAAGTGTAAAGGAAAAGGAAAATTAAGTGTCCAAATAAAAACTGAAGTAAAGGAAAAAGAGAAACCGAAAGAAGGTGAAAGCCTCCTGGATCTACTGGAGCTTGAAATGAGAGCAAGAGCAATTAGGGCTTTGATACGTAAAGAAGAAGATTCTTCAAGTTCAAAAAATGCCCAAATCAATGATTCTACAAAATTAATCTCGGAATCTAAAACCTCCAAAAACAAAAGCACCAAAGCAACACAGGAAAATCTTAAAGAACAACTTGAAAAAATTGATAATTTAATGAATCATGGGGAAGACGAGGATGTTTTTGTAGTTATTCAACCAGCTCCGACAATAGAACTACTTTCAAGCGAAAGTGAAACTGACGATCATTCGGAGCGAGTGAATCAAAAGTTAGTTAATGAACGCACGTCCGGGAGTAAAAAAATCAAAGAAGATCTATCTATAAAAAGTAAAAATAAAGACAATAATAAGAGCAGTGAAAAGACTATAAATATAAGCAAAGAAAAAAATGATAGGAAAACTAAAAATGAAAATAGTAAAGAGAATGATAATAGAAACGAAAATTCCAATTTATTAATAATTAAAGCTGATAATAGTGCAACGAATAAAACAAATAATTCAGGTAAATTGTTAAAAACTATAGATCTTGAAGAAGGGGAAATAATTGATGATAATGATGATAAATCAGTTAATGAGAAAACGACCGTTATTACTGAGACTCCATCTAAGAGAAAAATTAAAAGAATTAAAAAGAATCCTTTCATTCGCTTGAAGAAAAAGATTAAAGAAAATAACGATGACAATGCTAAAGATATTAAGAATAAAGTTTCAGATGAATCAAAATCTAAAAATGAAACTAATATTAAGAGAAAAGAGAGTAGTGTAAAAATGGATTTAATAGAAATTGAAGAATCTCCAAAAAAAGAAAATGTAGAAACAACGCTTGATCTAAGCGATAACAAGTTAAATAATTCAAAAATAGATCCATTTGATGATAAATTATTAGATATAGATGAAGTAATTAATTTAGACGATTATCCCGATGATATGGATGAGTTGGAAAAAACTGAAGTTAATAATGAAAGAAAAGAAGCGAATAAAGTAACAATTTTGACCAATAAAAGTACACATAAAGAGTCATCAAGTAATATACCTCCGCGTTCTGAAACTTGGACAACGCGATATTATAAGCAAGACGACGTTCAAAATGTAATAAAAGAATCTAAAATTCAATCTGAAATACGCAAACGCTTAAGGGAGAGACAGAGACAGAGCAAATTAAATAATCCATTGAAATTGAAAGATCAAGATGCATCGCAACAGAATTCAGAGCCACTGATTCCCAAACCCACTGGTTCAGTAGAAGAATATCTTGCTCTAAAAGGACTTCCCAGTGAAACAAATAACAGTACTTCTGAGGTAGCAAGATCATCAGAATTACATAAAGACAACAATTCATTAATAAGCAGTAATGATGCCGTAATTGCAAAAAATTCTTTAACCAAAGGTGTAATTGAAAATAAAGCTATCGAACAATCAATTGGAGCTAAGCAAAAAGTTCAACCGACTGGTGATATAGTTATTGCGAAAACAATTGATTCAACATTGAATGATAATATAGCTATGGAACAGTTAAATAAACATAAAAAAAGTGACGATTCTCTTCGGAATATCAATGCTATTTGTAATATAGTATCAAAAAAATCTTCAAGTGAAAAATCAGGACAAAATGAATCGAATAATTTTAAGGAAATTATTTGTCCATTGAGAATTACTGAAAGTAATTTGATCAGCGATTCAAGCGTTGACAAGACCTTTGCCAAAGTAGACAGCATAGGTTTAAGTGATAAAAAATTAGCTAAGGACTTAAATAATAAAAAAATTAATGAAGAAAAAATTGTGTCAAGTAAATCTAAAACTTCTGAACTCAGACCGGATTAATAAAATATTTGTAAAAAAAAAAATCAACTATTTATAACCTGATACATAAAACTATTTTTATTGCGAAATATCGATAATGTTTGTTCTTAATTATTTGTAATAAAAAAATTAACTATTTGTGTAAATCATATTATAATTTATTTTGAAGATGAAGTAGTCTTTTAAATTAAGAAAGCTAAGAAATAGTAAAGAGCAATTTTACGCATTGAAGCTCTAATCATTATATACATTATATGAATTAATTTCTTCAATAATCGATTATAATTAGTTTGTCGATAATAATACCGTAATAAATAAGATTAATTTTACTATGATTTTATGATAGTAATTGTTAATGTATAAAAGTCGTTAAATATTCACGCAGAATATACAAATAATCATGTGTTTTTGATTTTATATAACGTAATGCCTTACTGATTTTCGTCACTGATTATACTAAAACTATTATTTTGGATTATGTGACTTTAACATTTGAAAAACCAATACAGGCAAATAGTAATTGTATATAAAGTATGAATAATCTTTCGTACTATTTTAAATTATGATAAAATGATTTAAATTATGACAAAATATGCTTTATTTTATATATACAAATAGAATCTCAAATTTATTATAAAATTCTTATTACATAACAGAAAATGTTATGTAGTTTTAAAATTAGTTTTAAATCTTTTATTCGCTAATTAGCATGGATTTTGTATATAATAAAGTAAATCATTACGAAATTTATTGCATTGAATTATTCTATAAACATTATTATTATATAGAGATAAATATTAATGTCACATATCATTTAACTTTTAGAAAAAGTTCAAATCATTTTAAGGATTTGAATAGAAATGTGAAATATTAATAATTGTGAAGTGAAGCTATTATCATTGTAACATTATTATTTTAAAGTTTTATTCTTTATAAACGAATAAGATAAATGCTCAAGTATCATTAATGTAAAACTTAGTTTTGAATAAAATTCAGTTTATTCATAATTGTTTCTACATAATTTATTATCATTAATAGCGTAATAAAAATATATTACAATATTTATTAATTTAAATGAAATATACAATTTAGTCAAATTACATGGTTGAGACAATGGACGAGTTATTACTTGGAAATAAATTTTCGATACTTTTCGCAATCTATTGTGCTTATTTTTTGTAAAGTAAGATCTCGTATCTTTTGTTCAATTTTTTTGATGATTTCATTATGCCATTTGTTCGAGATGACAGATGCCAATTTTGACAGGAGAGGATTTAGCCCTCCGCCGCCTGTTATTTTTATTACGATGGAACCAAATTTAGTTATTTGTAGATTATTTAAGGAAAGACGGCAAGGTTTTTGATCGAAATCAGCTAGAAGAGATACGTTCACTGCTACGCCATTGATATTTGCTGATATATTGCCATTCATTTTAATACGGCCGTATTTTAACTATCGAAAGAAAAAAATTTATTTAATTTTCTTAAGAGTAGGTTTATTTTGTTTTAATAGAAAATCATTATGCTATAATATGAAAATTCGAGAATGTAATTTTTTTTTTTAATATTTGAATTATCACTTAAAAGTAATTAGAAATATTAATCACTTTTTAAAATGTAGAATCCACAGTCAATATAATTTATAAATTAACCTGTATTAAGAGATTTGCATAGTCATTTATATGGCTATATTAGACATATGTTAAATACTCTTATATTAATATTGAAATTATTTTTTAATTAAATATTATTATGCCAGTACAAATATTATGGTATATAATGAATTATAATTATTTAAATGATACAATTATAAGAAATAAATCAAATATGAAGTATGCATAATGAAGGTAAATAATTCCAATTGTTTTTTTCTATGCCCATACTTGTAATTTATAATATAAATTTTGATACGCATACGCGCAGATACGTAAACACATGGCAAATTGTATTTTCAGAAGAGATTGTTTTATTCGAATTCTTTTTATATGATAATTAAAGTAAAAATTTAATACTCGCTTAAGGCTTATCAAACCATTCATTATTAATATGATGGTCATTAACAATTTGATAATTCATTATATATTATTTAAAATAAGAAAATAGCATATATTGATAACATTTAATATGTCTAGTCTTTATGTTTTGAAATTTCCTTTTTTTTTTTTTTTTTTTTTTTTTGAAAAATATCAAATATTTATGAATAAATTTTATGTCTACTCGTTTGCATTTTATCAATAAATTATTGGCTAAAGAAAGTTTTTACGAGATTATTATCATTAATATCAAAACGTTAAACTTCATTAAATTCACGTTACATGCAATTCTTACAATATTATCTATATCATGAAAATTAAATTTATATTTAAGCTAAAGTAGAATTTAAAATAGTAAGTATAAAGAAAACTCAAAGGAAAACAAAAGCACGATTTCGGCGTTATCGCAATGAAAACTTCTGAAATATGCATTGAAATTAGACATTAGAATTTTATCATATATATATATATATATATATATATATTATTTAAACTAAATAAATGTATTTAATATCTATGCAATTTATTTTAAAATAATACTCTTATATTTTTCGTAAGGAAATTATTAAAATGATAAATTTCTGTAAACTTTGGGAATTAAAATTCGTAATTCGGTGTAATATATTTATAATGCATATATAAATAAATTAAATAAAAATGAATATTTTCATTATTAAAGATTTTATTATATTTTACCACATAATTATTGTATTGAAAGTATGCTGTCGACAGTCCGAATCCACACGATGCAAACCGTTTTAAACCCTCACTTCTTACAGTAACATATCCTTCTCTTGATAAAGTAGTCAGATCTCTAAAATAAATGAAATTAAACAATAAATTGGATCTTCAACTATTACAATTCATATAACATATATTTTAATATTGGTTACAAATGCTCATTACTGCAAGTTATCTAATATAATAAAATATCATTACTGAATGTAACAAAATATTATATTTTGCGTTTCATAATATTAACGAGTATTTAAAAAGTATGAATTACTTTTTATCGAAACAGTGCCATTTATTTATAGAATAACAATAATAATTAACAAATGTTTTGTTTGTTAAAAAATACCAAAAATGCCTTTACAAGAAAGCTTAATTATGAAAGTATGTATTCTCATTTAAAAAAATGATTATTCATTTTTATACAAATAGATTCAAGAAATAAGTGCATTTAAGGAATTAATAAATAATATAATTAAGACGATGAAGAAACTAGTTACCTAAATTCTTTTAAGGATTAGCTTGTATTATTGTATTGTTGTATTATCATTGTAAGCTTGTATTATCAATTCAATATTCAACATATGTAGTATGATAATATGAAAGTCTTTATAAATTAATTTTTCAATTATGAATAAATTAAAAATCATATAAATTCACTTACTTAAATATACCATTAAAAGCATTGAATTCACCGCAAACTTTAAAAATGGACACTCCGGTTGAAAAGCGTTCGTCTATATTAGGAATATTTACTATTCCATTATTCTCTTTCCGAGAAATTTGTATAATTTGATTTATTGTCTCATCTACGATTATATCCATAAAAGACTAAAAATACATGTAATACTAATGTTTATAAAATTAAAAGATCTCTTATTATGTTTAAAACAAATGTTGTTGATACCAGGAAAGAATTTAATCACTTTTTTATACGAAAAATGAGAAAAGTACAATAAATTTCTACTATATCAATAGGATCATATTTTAATATTTATTGTTAAGGCTATTATTTTTTGTTTGTTAAATGATAGTTATTTTTAAATTTAAATTTAAAAATAGGTATTTCGACTATTTTTAATTTTGTAAATGAGTTTGAAAATATCTATTGTACCAATATTAAATTGATATTAAATTAAAAATATATGTTATAAACGTTAATAAACAATGGCTATAAGATAAATAAAATAATATAATAATAATCGACTCTATTATTAACAATCCTATTATCAAAATATTCACTAAATGTGAAAAGCTAGATTTTTTTTTACATTCTGAGGTAAAAATTAACGTAAAATATATTGTTTTCTTACATGTGCCTCATATTCATTTAAATTTTCACTAGTGAAATTATTTTTATAACTAGGTATTAAGCACATTGCATTATTTGTATTCATATTTGAAATAGCATCTAAAGAATGGCCTATTAATTTCAAATAATTATTATCAACATCTCCATTTTTATACTGACTCCATACTGTTTTAATTTCATCAGATATAATAATACCTAATTTTCGGCAAATCGATGATTTTATACACGTGGACATTCTATGAATAATTTCATATTCTATTTGATTCATTAGAATTGAACGACTGAAAAAAAAACGATTAATTTTTAATTAAGCTTTATAGAAATATATTCACATTATACAAAAGAATTTAAAAATAATTTAATCACTTACTCGTCAGTATTTTTTTTTAATAAATTTAAACTGCAATGTGATAATTTCGTATCCTCACAATTACTTTGCTGATGAAGAAAACATAAAATTACGCGAATTGTTAAAAATAATATAATTATTTAAAAAATGATTGTATTTTTAAATAAATAATGATTTTATTTTACATTATAAAAACATTAGGTTTTTAATTAAAAATAGTTTAATTATGTAAATCACTCTGGTACTATTTTACATTAAAAATTCAATAAATTATTTTATTTATTCGTCATTATTAATATAATAATTGATAGAAAGCTTACTATTACTTGCGTAGAACCTGCTATTTCAAAATTATAAATTTTGAATGTTTTTTGAGTTTCATTACGTCGTTCTTGATTCCCCACTACTATATATCCTACAAAATAAAATAAAGACGGTACAATGGAAAAATACATATTTATTATAGTAAATATTAAGAAAAACATATTTTACCTGAAAAACTTATTGCCATATTAGGTATAAAAATATGAACAATTTTAAGTTGATGAATATTGCACATCGATAAATCTTCTTGGTAATATTTTACATTAATGTCGGCATCATATATGAGTGTTTTATTATTATCCTTTGTTATGATTTCAAAATTTTTTGGTATACTGCAATCTAAAATAAAATTCATCATCATTGTTAAGGTATTTTTTTTTTTTTTTGTAAAATATCTTCATTTATTTTAAAATTTAAGGTGTCAAGGTTTTATTTTAAGATTTTACGTTACGTTGTAATATAAAATAATTATATTGTTTTTTAATTATACTCAAGGAGGGATTTTTTGTTGAATAAAAACTCAGTAGATAGCTAGAATAAAAATATATTTTAATTTAAAAAAAGTATTTCTAAAGATACACGTCCGAGAAGACGAAAGCATACGTTACGATGTTTTTTTTTCTAATTAGATTTTAAAATTTTTTAAAATTAGCCTATAATAGTCTGTAAGGTAAAGAATTTACTAGTTGGATTGGAGAACATTTTTACTTTAGATATATAATTATCGTGAATACACTATAAATACTCAGAAAATTCATACTTACATAAAAGTTATTAAGTTAAACAAATTGCTTTGAATATTATCATGTATTCTGTACTTTATTATTATTGTATATATTGTTATTATTATATAGTATATATATATATATATATATATATATAAATATTCTATATCTACTACTACTATAATTTATATAAAATAAATTTTTATATGATTCAGCGCAATATTTGAATAAGTATGTTAGTTTCTATATCGGTAAATTGGAAAAAGTAGGAAATTCAATTTCAAAATAAAATGTATTAAAAAACATATTTTGATTATTATAAAGTTCTACGTCATGCATTCTTATTCATAAATCTATACTTTATTAAATACTTTGTCTTAGACTGTATAACTTTAAAAATATTAGCATGAATACTTTAGCTATTGGTAAAAGTTAATAAAAATACAATATTTTTGATCTTGTGAAAGAGTTGTTCATTTTAATTTTATTATTATTGTTAGAGTATGATTTTTTCATAAATATGATTTAATAAACTATTCAAAATAACTAATTCAGATTTATATTTAATTTTAATATATATATAATTTTTTTTATATAGAATTAGTAACTTTATTATCCAATTATATATTTGCAATTATTATATATTCACAATTACAAGAAATGAATTGAAAGTGTTTAAGAAAAAAAGTAGATTTTATTATATGTGAACAATATTAATTTAATTAACATGTATTATTTATAAGTTTTTAAAAGATTGTTATATGATTTTATCTTTTATTTATATAGTTTTAACTTACCTAGAAATTCTTCAGAGATAACTGATGAATTTAAAAGAGAAGCGATCAATAAAAATAAGTAGAATGATGAAATCATGGCAAGTGTTTTATATTTTATTCTGAAAAAAAAATATATATATATATAACGTATTACTACTTTTATTATTATATTTATTTATTATTTTTTAGATTATTTATTATAGAAAATGATTTTATAGCAAGTGCTTTTTAATTTATTGTTTTCATATAGAAAAAAATTATTAATTGATTAAATAAATATTCAGATACTTAAGAATTCATTAATTATGATTGATTCACAAGTTCAATTCACATTGCAAAAAATCATTAATTTATATTAATTAGTTCTAGAAGATTAAAAATTAGAAGATCAAAGTTCCATATTTAATAATTTTTATTATTTGATTAATGCTTTTACAAAATTCAATGGATTTAAATAACGTTATTAAAATTTAATGTTAATGCTGTTTTAGCAATGTTCTATTCCATCTCAAGTAACTTTCTATTTATAATTTATTTAATTAAATAAATGTTCACTTTTTATTAACTAAATCACTATTTACATGTGTTTATGACAATGTATAATGAAATTAAAACTTATGAAATATAGGTAATATTTAATCTTTATAAAGAAATGATTAATTAAATGTAAAAGAATCTGTTATTTTGTTTTATCGAAGCCACTGTTAATTTAATTACAATAATAATATTAATTTACAATTAAATTTGTGAGTTGGAAAACTAATAATTGCTGCAGAGGTAAGAGGCTTTTCTATTAGCAATATATAGCACATTATAAAAATTTTTAATTAAATTAATGACTAAATTGTAAGGTTGCTTGGAAGCTTTAGTAGAAGATATATATATATATATATATATATATATATATATATATATAAAAGAATGATGGACAAAATGTTTCCTTGGTTATAACCGTAAAATATGAAAAATTATTTTTGTAAACAATTTTATTTTAAACTTTATTTACTATGCAGTAAATAAAAATGTAAATTGTTAATAATACGAGAAAGGTATAAAAAGGTAATAGTGACGTAAAATACTGTGACACGTTGTTACATGTATTATTTAATGATACGAATTCGACGTAGATTTTGTGAATTGTTCTAAAATTAAATAAAATGCATCGTAAAATGAGAGATAAGAATAAAATGTACAATTTCAGTTATCTCAAATTTGATCGTGATAACATATAATACGTAAAAGTGTTTATAAATCGTTATTAAAATATTAATATAAATTGATTTTTGATGGTATTCTTATAATTATAATGTTTTTCATAAAATTTAGTTAATGTTATTATTAATATTAATTTTTAACAATTAGAGTTACTTAAAAATTTTTTAATCAAAATTTACTTATAATTTGAAAAACTAAATTTAGATTATTGAAATTCGTATTGATTTTGTTTTTTATATTATTTATTATAAATTATTTCTTCTGATTTTCTATGAATGCTTATTAAACTCCAAATTCTTGTCTCCTTATGTATGCATTATAAAAATAATAAATACAATTATTAATAATAAATTCGAAGAAAATATGAGATTAATTTTTTTATTAAGAGTGAAATCTTTATATTTAGACGAACACGCTTTTAAATCCTTTTAAACGAGAAATTTAGAATTAAGGAATTGTATGAGTGATAAATATGTATCACTAAATATATTACAATGTAACCACAAATAACATCACGAACCTTTTAAATAAGTATTTGTATAATTATGTATAAAATATGATCTATGTATAGAATAAAAAGTGACTTGACAATTGATTAATAAATTAACGCATTAACACATATTATTAGTCGAAACAGTCGAGTTGTATTAAATAAAATAATTTCAAATCAATTATACAATTTTATTGTAACAAAGAAGCACAATTACAAAAATGAAATTATAATATACGTCAACTAAGTGTGAGGTACTGTGAAGCTATAAATAGGCAAAATATTTCTTATCCAACTAATGATTATTAATTTTCGAGCTCTAGAGATAGTAATATCTAATAAAATAAAACAATATTATTCCTGGAATAATCGTAAAACTAATTTGAATATAATGTCTGTAAAGCAAGATAATAACTATTATTTTAATGAAATTTCAAAATATTTGATATCAGAATGTAGAGTTTTAGGTTACAATAATAAATGTGATATGTAGATCAAATAAGATCATGTAGTAAGATTATTAGTGTTTAATGGATTATACAAAGAAAAAGTGTTATACAAAAAAATGATAACAAAATTTGTGTAAATAGCACGTGAGAATAATTTTGCAAGGTTTTTTCTACATTTTAGAATAATACGTTCTTTTTATTATTTTGTTATGTTTTACGTAGATTCGGAGGCGTTAGTACAAGATATTATGTATAATCTTTGAATCAATTTTTGTCGCAATATATAATTATCATTAATGTTGATTATCTTAATATAAAAGTTTTAATTGTTTTATTAACATATTTTATAGGCAGGTAATAATATAAATAATGACTTCATAAATAAGAAAAATAAATTTGTATAAAGCATAAGGTAATGTTGTAATTAAATTTATAAATAAATAATTTTAATTATATATTATTAATAATACATAAAATTTTAATCTATTTATAATTTCAAAATTATTGTGGTTATTTTAATGTATCATTTATAATTTATATTTATGAGGAAAGCCAAATATTCTAATTGTTAAACAACCGAATGATGCAGTAATATTTGTTAATTTATGAGATAATCGATTCAATATTTTATTAATATAGTATTATATTAATTCGTACCAAAAAATTATTTAAAATTTCGAAATATTTTTATAAATTAATATTATAAGTTATGAGATAATTGACATTGATATATTCTGAAAATCGATTGCATACGAAATAGAAAAATAATAAATAATTTGTTTTACTATATTTTTGCTAATAATTTTGATTATTATAAATCAATCAAATTATGAAATAAATTTTAGTTATTAAATTTAACATGATTTTTATTTACAACTCTCTAGTATATTTATATATTTTTATCAAATATTTAAATAATTTAATCATAAGCAAAAAGTATTTCAATCAATTGAAAATTTTTGAATCGCTAAAATCTATTTTAGTCTAGATAATTGTTTAAATATAAGTATATAACGATATCTTGAGTTTTAGTAAATTGGTTTACTTTATCTTTTTTATTAATTGCATACAAAAACGAGCATTTTAAGATTAAGGCGTTAAATTATAATTTATTGAAATCGAATGATATGTCAAATGAATATAATTGAACTGTATTTGTACGTAAACTTGAAAATTCTTTCATCTTATATTTCTATTTTTACACATTATTAAATTTAGTTTTATATTTAATTTTGTTTATGGTTAAGTCTATTTCAACTTAATGATTAAATACTCTTTAATATTATTATTGTATTTTTATAGATTAATATATTTAGTTTTAAGGAAAAATTGCAAACGACATAAGCATTTTATAAATGCAATGTGATAAATTATTTCATTTTTTGCTAAATTTTTGTCTAGATAGTGTAAAACTGATGAATAAAACTTAATTGCAAGTGTTTTTTAATTTTATTATTTTCAGTAGTATTTAAGCAGTTAAGTTTCTAACGAATTTTCAGACACATATTAATTTTAGAAAGTTATTTATAAATTATATATAGCGGTTGATAAACATTTATAATCTTCTTTTTAAATTTATGAAAGTATTACTCGCACAATATCTACTCATAATAATTAGTAAATTACATATAAATTAATATATTATTTAAATTCATCCAAAGTAATTGTGAATTTCGATGTAAATACGTTATAAAATTAGACTGAAT